CAGCCCGCGTCTTGAGCCTCCTCTCTTAGCGTTTAGATGCCCGCGGAGCTTATGTCTCAGGATCTTCCACACTCGTTTTGCACTGGCTAGATCACCGATTTCACTCGCTACTGTTCATTTTTGTCTAAAGGGGGTCGCTGAGCAAATCACTGAAGCGTCTCAGACTTAAAGTCTTCCCCATTTGTAAAATGAACTTAGTGATAACTTTTTTAAATGGTCATTTGAAAAAAAATACTCTTTTGAGAAGCAAACGAAGGCGCTTTGCAAACTGTAAAAGTGTAATAAGAACGAAAGATATTGCTAAACTTTCCTTCCTCTCTGGTTCTCGATGGGTAGGTAGGTTTGGGGAAGAGGAGCATAGCATCAAAAAATAGCCACATCCGCAGCACCTCTGCTAGTTTTGTTACTATTTTTAAGTTCTGAAGTGATCGATCTCTCGTTCCTTGAAAATTACTGGGAAGATTGCCCTGTGTTAATTTCTTCATCAGCATTTACCCTGTAATTTTTAAGCCTGGGAAATGCTGTGTTTATTGAGCTATTAGTTCTTAACTGTTATAGGAGCAATGACTTCTATGAGAACCCAGCCTAAGCAAAATGATCTTCCTCCCTCACCTTCATCCACATACGTATTTATGCACGTGCTTTAGAGGCTTCCATGGACCACTGATTCCCAAATTAAGAACGTGTGCTGATTTAAAACCCTGCAGTGCCATAAGTTGGATTTGATCACTAAAGTCTGAAAACCATAGCTTTAGGGTGGACATTTATTGAAAACTTGATGAGGTGGCTGAAGGTGATTCATACATCCCTGATCCAGCTGTAGTACAAGTGTCTGTTCCAAGCTAACATGTGTTCTTTGGTTTGATTTTCTGTGCTGGGGAAGAACTTAAGGCCTTGTGAATGCTAGGGAAATGCTCAACTATTGACATACACCCCCCAGGCAGCATATAAGACTGAAAGATGGATGTGCCCGAGTTGTAAGGGAGTGTCTTTAAATGTTCTTTTTTATTCTGTTACGCATTGATAGATACAGTATTTGATTTTCAGTCAGCTCTTTAGAATTTGTACTCAGTATAAGATGAGCATTGATGTTCATATTTTACAGAGAAGCTCAGAGTATTTAAGCAACTTACCTGCTTAAAGTTTAGAAGTAAATCTTAGACTAGAGGTAGTTTCACATCTTTTTTTCACATCCTATTCCATTATAATCATGTTGAACTTGGTTATTAGTTTTGAGTTAAATTTGATTATACTTTCTCAAAATTGTAGCATTATATTGCCAAGTATATGTATTAGATCTATGAATTAACAAAAACTTTTTGGAGGGGGCTGTCTTGATGTTTTAACTTGCTTGGCATGTGTTCTACTACTTAAACCATACCGTAAGTCTTACCAGGGTGTAATTATAAGCAACCCTTTTCCTCAAGGTTCAATCTCAGTGAGATGTTAGACATATAACAAATAGCACTACAGACATTAATGTGAACAAATGAGCAAGAACTGACAGATAGCATTTCAGTATTTGCTGAAAATTAAGGAAATTGTTTCATTAAATAAATGTATGATTAAAAAAAAGGTTCAAAGTTTCCAGCCAGGCACAGTGCCTCATGCCTGTAATCCTAGCTACTCAGGAGGCTGAGATCTGAGGACGGAGGTTCAAAGCCAGCCTGGGCAGAAAAGTCCCCATGAGACTTATCTCCAGTTACCCACTCAAAAACCAGAAATGGGCCTGTGGCACAAAGTGGTAGAGCACTAGCCTTGAGCAAAAGTGCTCAGGGACAGCACCCAGAGCTTGAGTTCAAATACCAAGCCCTTTAGCTAAAAAAAAAACAAACAAACAAAACTCAAATTATTTAATGGCCTGACGGAGGCATTCAAAAAGAGTATTATATAGGTGGGAATGCTGATGAGCTGGGAAGCAGTACCAGGGAAGAATTAGAGGATCAGAAAAGGGAATAGACCTGAGCTACAGGTAAGTTTTCATAGGGGAAAATGTGTTTTGTGAAAGACTATAAGGATGCAAACTGGGATATGACTTACTCTTACCAGAAATGGTATATGAAAATAACTAGTGAGGGCTAAAAATCAAACAGATTTAGCACTTCCATTTTACAGTATTCTGTACTGAGCTCTCCTTCCCCAATATTCTAGCCCTACCTACTGCAATTTCCAACATGGCTACCTGTTTTATAGCCTACTCTTTAGTAGGATTTTTGAAATCTCCCCCCCTAAATTTTTTTCCTGGTAATGATGCAGGTTAACTAATCTTAATTAAATCTAAATGGCGCTTGACCTCAGGATTTGGATACTGTCCCTGAGCCCTTTTTGCTCAAGGCTAGCACTCTTACCACTTTGAGCCACAGCACCACTTAATATCATGAATTTTCCTGCCCAGGCTGACTTAGAACCCCCAATCCTAAGATCTAAGCCTCCTGAGTAGCTACAATTACAGGTGTGAGCCACTGGCATCGAATTTTAACTGTAATCTTAATGCTTTGTTTTCTCCTACAGTAAGTTAATAGTGCTCAATTATATGTAAAACTCCTAAAGACTGTATAAAGGAAAAGGTAAAAAATCAATCTTTGCCTATCTAGGAAGTTTTCTTTCTAAGCTTACAGGTCCAGGTATGGATTCTCTTCCTGCCAAGCAAGAGGATTACACCATTACTGTGTTGCAGGATGACTCACTGGTTGTGTGGAAGGAAGTTGATTTGACCCGACTCTCTGAGAAGGAACGTCGTGATGCCTTGAATGAGATTGTTATTCTGGCACTGCTGCAGCATGACAACATTATTGCCTACTACAATCACTTCATGGACAATACCACCCTGCTGATTGAGCTTGAATATTGTAATGGTAAGGTAGAATTTAATGGGACTTCCTCCACAAGTTATTTTTCCTGCCCATGCTTAACTTGAGGGGAAGAGTACAATAAAGCAAATGCCATGACAAAACTTTAAATGGATTTCTCAAGTTAAAGACAGATGGTTGAGGCCTTGGAAAGTTATGAAGAGGTGCTGTACAAATAAGGGGATGGATTCTTATAATCCTAGTTCAATATTCAAATTAGTTTTTCATTTGAACTTATATTTATTTTTAATGGCTTTTCATCTTGAAATGACATCAGTTGCAAATTATAGGTATGGTATGGTTTCAATACTACACAGTATGATATTTAATGAAGTGATATTTACTTATTTTAACTTTAGCTAAAGCTGCCCTATTGAGAAATGGTCCTAGGTCATAACTGAATAAATATGATTGTAAAGCACAACCTTATTTTTCTAGTCTCTGTTTCTCTGTACTTTTTTCCCCTCTAGTCCTGGGGCTTGAACTCAGGGTCTGGGCACTATCCCTGAGCTTCTTTTGCTCAAGGCTAGCACACTACCACTTGAGCCACAGCACCACTTCCAGCCTTTTCTGTTTATGTGGTACTGAGGAATTGAATCCAGGGCTTCAGGCTTCATGCATGCTAGGAAGCACTTTACCACTAAGCCACATTCCCAGCCTGCTTAGTTTATTTATCTTAAAATGAATTTATTGATTACAATACTACTTTCTAGGCTTAGTGTAAATGTGTAAAACTTTAGTATGTAGCAAGTGATTCATACCTATTGTACTGTTACCCTTTTCTGAGCAGTATGTGCATCACTTACAGCTTTACTGTCTAGACTTTTGTGGTTCAGGATTGTTTCTGGTTCTAACTTATTACATAAGATTGTGTTACTTTTTTTTTTTTTGTGCCAGTCCTGAGGCTTGAACTCAGGGCCTGGGTTCTGTCCCTGAGATTTATTTATTTATTTATTTATTTAGGTTAAGGCTAATGCTGTACTACTTAAGCCATAGCTCCAATTCCAGCTATTTTTGGTAATTAATTGGAAATAAGAGTCTCGAGCTTTCTTGGTGCTACTGGCTTTGAAGCATGATCTACAGATCTCAGCTTCCTGAGTAGCTAGGATTACAGGTATTACCTGATACAACTTTTTTTGTTTGTTTTTGGCAGTCCTGCAGCTTGAACTCAGGGCCTGAGCACTGTCTCTGAGCTTCTTTGGCTCACTCTACCACTTGAGCCACAACTTGGTACTGAAGAATCAAACCCAGGTCTTCATGCATGCTAAGCAAGCACTCTTACCACTAAGCCACATTCCCAGCCTGACACAACTTTTTGAAATAACAATAGCTTTAAGTAGTTAACTTTCTTTGTAGTTAGGAAGTTCTAGGACAAATGATAGTTGTTAAAACTCTGAGTTACTAAATTAGAGTATAAGAGAAGTTGTAGAGCTTTAGCCCAGAGTAAAATATAAATTGTAGCCTTGGGTAGGAAATAAAATGAATCATGATAATTTGTAGTCTCTATTACTTGATAAAGGAAAGAGAAGTAAATTCTCATTTAACCCACAGGGGGGAAAATAGTAAATGGAGTAATGATTAGAAAATCCAGGAGTATCCCCTAAAACTTGAAGAAACCTTCTCAGTTAGAACTGGAAATAAATACCCAGTATATATGAAACATTCATCACAGATGTAACCCCAACAACTTGGAGAATTACTATAGAACTATTGCAGATTTCTTGAAATGAAGTTCAACCAAAGAAATTAATTGCACTCATGCCTATAATCCTAGCTACTCAGGAGGCTGAGATCTGAGGATTGAGGTTCAAAGCCAGCCTGGACAGGAAAGTCCATGAGACTCTTATCTCGAATTAACTATCAGAAAACCAGAAGTGGCACTGTGTCGTGGCTCAGAGTGATAGAGTGCTCGCCTTGAGCTGAAGAGTTGAGGGACAGTGCCCAGACACAGAGTTCAAGCCCCACAACCGACTAAATAAGTAAAAATAAAAGATAAGAGTAAAGACCAGTTGTGTAGTATTTCAATTAGTGAAATAGTTTCACAGTCAGATAATTTCTTTCTCTCTCTCTTTGTTGATCGTGGGGCTTGAACTTTGGGCCTGGGCACTGTCCCTCAGCTCTTCAGTTCAAGGCGAGCACTCTACCACTTGAGCCACAGCACCACTTCCAGTTTCTGGTAGTTAATTGGAGATTAGAGTCTCATGGACTTTCCTGCCCAGGCTGGCTTTGAACCTCAATCCTCAGATCTCAGCCTCCTGAGTAGCTAGGATTACAGGCATTAGTCACTGGCACCTACTTTCTTATCTTTTCTTAAATGTCATACATAGGCATAGGTGATGGTACCCCTGTAATCTCAGCTACTCAGGAGGCAGAGACAGGAAGATCAAAAGTTGAGGCCAGCCCAAGAGAAATAAAAACCAAAGGGTTGGGTACGCAGCTCAGGTGATTGCCTAGCAAGTATGCAGCTCTGGGTTCTGTCTCTAGTACTACTAAGTTAATTGTTAGTTAAAATGTCATACTTCTCATTTTTTTAACTGATCCTTTTCTGTTAGGGAAAGGTGTTTCTGAACCACATTTCTGACACAGAAATAAGAATAGTTTCATACTCAGGTAAAAAACCAAGAGGGAAGAAGTCATTTCCTTTGGAAAGGAAGCAGAATCCTTCATGTCAGTTGTTAAAACCTTGTAAGATAAAGGATCCAAGCTTTGATTTATGAGGCATTCAAACTTGGTTTTTTTTGTTTGTTTAATTGTAGGAGGAAACCTGTATGACAAAATCCTCCGTCAGAAGGACAAATTATTTGATGAAGAGGTAATTTATGTGTCTATGAAGGGAAGCTAAAGTTATAATGTTTAATTTCTGAATTCTGGTTCTGTAATTACTCTTCCAACAATGAAGAGTATCTTTTTCCTTTTGTTCAGACTCCTTCCAGGCTCTGATATTCATGAGAAAGAAAACCTAACAAGGAAGCTGTCTATAGCTCCTTTCTAAATGTTTTACCTCCACATCATGATTCACTGGGCTTTCTTTCCTGGTTTTATTACTGCATACTGGTATGCCCAGTTTTCTATGCCTTTGCATTTTTCCTGGGTTTCTTTCCTCGAGTCTGCTTATTACCATACTATATTTTGTAACTATATCCGAATTATATTATGACCTGTTTTTTCTTCTTTCCCCTACCAGTTTTCTTTGCCTCCTCAACCTACAAGCAAGCAATGTCAAGTCATGTTGATTTATAACCTCTAGTTGCAGCTTCCTTTGCTTGGTATGTTTATTTTAATGGAGTCTTTGTTTCCAATCCAAATATATTTTATGTTTGCAGATGGTGGTGTGGTACCTTTTTCAGATTGTTTCAGCAGTGAGCTGTATTCACAAAGCAGGAATCCTTCATAGGTAATAAATTAAAAAAATTATGGGGTGGATTCTTTCCTACTAATCTAATCCTTACTTAGAGTTTCTCCTATTAGCATTTTTTTTTCTTGTCAGTTGTGGAGCTTGAACTCAGGGCCTGGGACACTGTCCCTGAGCTCTTTTGGTAGCAGTCTATCACTCTGAGCCACAATGCCACTTCCGGTTTTCTGGTAGTTACTTGGAAGTAAGAGTCTCACAGACTTTTCCTGCTGGGTGAGCTTTGAACGATGATCCTTAGATCTCAGCCTCCTGAGTAGCTAGGATTACAAGCATGCACCACCAGCACCATCCATTTTTATGTTCTTGATTTAAGGAGTCAAGGGTTTCCCCCCCCCCACTTTTATAAAGGATGGGAAAGAGTGAGTATTGAAGGATGTTAGCTTCACTTTCTGAAGTTCAGTCATCTTTGTGATCTACAAAGTCTCCTCAGTAACTAAGTGCCACTGATTATTTCTTTTAAATGTATCCTAGAGTTTACTTATTCAATTTATCAATAAAGCCTAGAAAGTGCTATAAAAAGTCATATTGGTTAGAATGTGTAGCAAGTATGAGCAATAATAATTGGCAGTTATTTTTAATTCTATGCTGAACCTAGCTGTATAGCTTTACACTTTCATTTACTAATATAAATTCAATTTTATTTTCCCACTTAAAAGACAAGGGACTGGAAAGTAGCTCAGTGATAAAGTACTTGCCAGCAAGTACAGTGTCCTGGGTTTAATCCCCAGTACCAATAAAGAAAAAGATAGGGGGGGGAAAAGTTTAACTGTAGAAGGAAAGGGAATGCTGAGAGAATTCATGTTTTCATATACTCTTTAAAAAGATTTATAGCCCAGTATTGGTGGCTCACACCTGTAATCCTTGCTACTTAGGAGGCTGAGATCTGAGGATTGCAGTTCAAAGCCAGCCCAGGCAGAAAATTCCATTGAGACTCTTACCTCCAATAAACTACCCAAAAAGCCAGAAGAGGAGCTGTGGCTCAAGCCCCAAGACTGGCAAACAAAAAGAAAAAAGAAGAAAATGTTTGACATAAGGAAATAATTCACCTTTTTTTTTCAATGTTAAAATTAAGTTTTATACACACACACACACACATATTTTTTTTAGGGGGGGCAGGGTTTGGTTGTGGTACTTGAACTCTGGGCCTGAGTATTGTCCCTCGGCTCTTTTGCTCAAGGCTAGTGCTCTACCACTTTGAGCCACAGTGCCATTTCCAGTTTTCTGCTTGTTAATTGGAGATAAGAGTCTCAGGAACTTTTCTGCCTGGGCTGTCTTTGAACTGAGATCCTGATATCTCACCTTCTTGAGTAGCAAGGATTACAGGCATGAGCCACCAGTGCCTGGCAAGTTATATAAATTGAAATAAAAGTCTGCTTATGTTGTACAATAAACTGTATAGTTTTACTAATTCTTTTTTCCTTTGGTCAGTCCTAGGGCTTGAGCTCTGGTCCTAGGTGCAATCCCTGAGCTCTTCAGCTCAAGGTGAGTGCTCTACTTGAGCCACAGTGCCACTTTTGGTTTTCTGGTGCTTAATTGGGGATAAGAGTCTCACAGACTTTCCTGCCTGGGCTGGCTTTGAACCTCAATCCTCACATCTTAGCCTCCTGAGTAGCTAGGATTACAGGCGTGAGTCACCGGTGCAGGCTACTAAATCTTTATTTGATGAAAATTCAGAGGGGAAACGAAGTTTTCACTCGCTTCTAACTGTAGATAAGAATCATTATAAGAACATTTCTGCATCATTAAACCCTTCTTAAGTGAGTCATAAGAACATTTCTACATCATTAAACCCTTAAGTGAGTCATTGACCATTGCCAGCAATTAATTATACCAGAGTTTCTTTTTATTGGTTTGTCCATTTAGTTAACACATTTATTGAAAGCTATTGAATGTCTACTATTGCACACTGTTACTTTCTTATTAAAAATAAAAAAAATTCTGGCTTAGTCACATCTAGAGTGTGATCTAGATACAGATTATTTTATTTTACTTTATCTTATTTTATATATAGCAATTCACCTTTAAAAGATTAACCACTGACTTTCTTTAGGTAATCTAAAACAATCTAGTTATGTTATTGTTGACATAGGAAACCTCTTTTCCTGCTTTAGCAGATTATTTGAAAGGCAGGTATTAAATCGCCTTGACATCAAATTTCAGGGAATCATAAGGCACATTCACGGAATCACCAGGCACCATAGCTCACATCTATCATCTTAGTTATTTAGGAGGCTGAGATCTGAGCATTGCAGTTCAAAGGCAGAAAAGTCTGTGAGACACTTTTATCTCCAATAAACTACTCAGAAAAAGCCAGAAGTGGTGCTGTGGCTCTAGTGGTAGAATGGTATCCTTAAGCACAAAGAGGCTCAGGCTCTTCAAGCCACCCAACCAACAGACAAAAAAATAAATAATTTTTTTTTTTCAGGGAATAAGTATAGTTGCATAGGCAAAGTATCTTACAGATTATGATTGGCTGGGGCACTGTCTCATCTGTTTAATTGTTTACTAGCAGCTTACGTGGTATGGGTGATAATCTTTTACTATCAAGCCCTAGAGAATAATATTCTCTGCCTTTACTCCCAAAATTCTCTCTTTAAAATGTTGTTAAAATGTGTGTGAAGCCAGGAGCTGGTGTCTCATACCTATAATCCTAGCTACTCAGGAGGCTGAGAGCTAAGGATCACGGTTCAAAGCCAGCCCAGGCAGGAAAGTCCATGAGACACTTATCTCCAATAAACTACCAGAAAACCAGAAGTGGCGCTGTGGCTCAAGTGGTAGAGTGCCTGCCTTGAGCTGAATTGCTGAGGAACAGCACCCAAGCCCAGAGTTCAAGCCCCATGATCGACAAAAAAAAAAAAAAAAAGGTGTGTGAAAGTGGGACATTTAGGACCCTGTAACAAAAACAGCAGAAGAAATACTCATTTTTATTCTGTACTAATTCTGACTGGGTAGGGGATGAGAATTGTTATAGGGACTTAATATGCAGTATCTTTTTTTTCAGAGATATAAAGACCTTAAATATTTTTCTGACTAAGGCAAACCTGATAAAACTTGGAGATTATGGCCTAGCAAAGAAACTTAATTCTGAGTATTCCATGGCTGAGACGGTAAGTATAGATTCCTTTTTCTCACTTAACACTAAGATATAACTATGCACTATAAATCTTGCTCAGTTTTCCAGTATTCTTGCACGTTATCCACACTACTAATGCAAGCTTTCAGATGTCTTGTCCTGGGGCTACTTGTAGTCATTTTTTATGAGATGTTCTTTGTAGACTCATTTTCCATATCACAGCTTTCACCTCATAGCTTTTTCTAACACTCATTAGACAATTTTCTAGAAGAAACAAAATGCTGTACTTTTTTTTTCTAGCTTATCTTCAGTATATTTCATTTTATTTCCTATTTAATGTTTGAAGCTATGGTGAGATGTTTCTTTGTGTTTCTTTTGAGTGTTGCTTCTGGCTCGGAAAGAAGCACTACATTGCAAGTTGAGGCTAATGCCAGAAAACAATCTGTTCTGTCATACACAGGTTATATTGGAGAGCTAGCTCTCTTCTTACCTGATTTGGAGAAAGATCATTGGTTAAAAAGCAGACTTAAAATGATCTTAAGATAGTGATATTATCTTTTGACAATTATAAAACCCGATTGTTACTCTTCTGGTTTTACAGTACTCTGTCCTTAAAAGAACTTGAATATGTAAGTTAATAAAGTTAACTTCATCTTTGATAATGTCAAGATAGTCTGCAAGCAATTTGGAAATTCAGTGTTTAGAGTCTCTGTTTCAGGACCTCAGTTATATGTTGTTGGCCAAATTAAGCTTCTAGGGAAGCAATTGTGTCCTTACGTGGAATTTTTTTTCTTACTAAGAACAATCTGATAAAACCCAAGAGTTGACTTCTTTTCAGCTAGTTAGATGCAATGGAAGAATTACATGAAAAAATACAAATGCTATGTAAGCTATTTGGAAATTTGTTTGCTGATTAAAGATGTCTGTCAGTTTTGTTAGAATTGCTGGGGCATACATTGTCTCTTAACTTTTGGAGTATTTATATAGATTTTTATTTCCAGACCCTTTTTTTTTTTGGTCCGGTCGTGGGGCCTGAACTCTGGGCCTGGGCGCTGTCCCTCAGCTCTTCAGCTCAAGGCTAGCGCTCTACCACTTGAGCCACAGTGCCACTTCCGGCTTTTTTCTTTTTGCTTATGTGGTGCTGAGGAATCCAACCCAGGGCCTCAGGCATGGAAGGCAAGCACTCTACCACTGAGCCACCTTCCCAGTCCCATTTCCAGACCCTTTTATTGTTTATCGTTTGTGTTTTTTGAGACAGGTGTGGTATGTAACACAAGCTAGCCTTGAACTCAAGGTTCTCTTGCTTCATCCTCCCAAGTCTGACTAGGATTACATTATAAGCATGTACCACCATATCTAGCTTCCAAGTCTATTTTTAAAGTAAAATCCAAAGAAGTTCAGTATGTTAGTACCACAAATGTCAAGTGAGCCATTGAGAAAGTTCCATTTACATCCCAGTTAGGACTTTTAACCCCTTTATTCAATTGCTATTTCCCTACTGCCATTGTTTGACTATTCCCCCTTGATGAGCTTTCAGCATGACTCTGTCTTTATGAAATCTTTAGTAGACTTTATTGCTTAAAGCCTATGTTAATGAGTGTTTTATGGTTATTATTCCTAATTCTTGGAAATTTTAATTTAGTTGTTGAACTATTAATTTAGTTACCTCAGAAGAGAAGTTATCTTTGTTTTCTTTATTGTTTAGCTTGTAGGAACACCATATTACATGTCTCCAGAGCTCTGCCAAGGAGTAAAATACAACTTCAAATCTGATATCTGGGCAGTAGGCTGTGTCATTTTTGAACTACTTACACTAAAGAGAACTTTTGATGCTACAGTAAGTTGGTGAATTATCCCCATATTGTGAATGGTACATATTGGTTAAGTAATCATGTATCTTTGAACTTCTTGCTTTTTTTTTTTTTTTTTGCTGGTGTGAAGGCTTTGGGCTCACTCAGCTTGCTAGCTCACAGTTGGCTCTATCACTTGAGCCACACTTTTAGTTCATGCACAAGCTTCTGAATTCTTACACATATATTACCTGTAGTCAAAAATAACCTATCGGAAGTGGCGCTATAGCTCAAGTGGTAGCTCGCCTTGAGCTGAAGAGCTGAGGGACAGCGCCCAGGCCCAGAGGTCAAGCCCCACTACCGACCAAAAAAAAAAAAAAGAAGAAAAAAAATAACCTATCGTCAGGCACTGAATTTGTAGTATATTAAATGTAATAGGCTATATTTATCTCCAGTTTGAATTTCTCATTGAATGATCATCTAACAGTTTGGGTACTACACTTAAATTTGACTATAATTTTAAAACTGACTTTAGTGTCATCCATATTGTAGTTTAAAAAAAGTGATTTCTTGAGCTTCATATCATAATTTTTTTAAAAAGCTAAGGTGAATTATCTAAAACCTCAGTGTTTTAATCATTTTTTATGAAAAAATCACTCTCATTAAAAACTCATAAGTTTATGGACAACATGTCCCTTTAGGCGTTTCTTTCTTTCTACTTTTTTTAACTAAAAAACATGAGGCACATCTTGTTACAATGCAGGTTGTTTTTTAGCAAGTCAGAGTGGGGAAGAGAGTATATTCTGCATTTCGAGCAAACTCCCAGACAGAAGTTTATTTTGGTGTACTTACCCATATAGTTCTCCTAAATAATACAGTGAAAGAAAAATAACTTTTGGAGTCAGGTAGACTTTGATTGGAATGATGACTTCACTTTTTTTCTATGTAATTTTGGGCAAATAACTTTATATCTCTAAGTTGTGTTTTTCTTTTGTACAAATTGAGAATGATAGCAACTTTATTGTGATATAAGAGGTTTTATTGGATTTAAGAGGTTCATATATGTAATATGCCTATCTAGTTTATAGTGATCTTTCATCAAAGTGGTGATGGTGGTGGTAATGTATAATTATCACCTTATGACATGCTTTGTCCTTTATTTATTGTTTTGCCTGTTAGTCATTATTGGGATGTATACATTAGTAGGCAAATTAATTGACAAGGGAGTTAAGGCTAAGAAACATGGCTAATCGTGCTGTCCTGTTTCCTGAGATTCAGTCCATGCGTCAAACTATAATCAGAGCAATATGCTATGGGCTACACAATAATAGCATTAAATTCCATGTTGACTAGTTAGCTTTATTCCATCTGATAGAAGCAGTACATTCCTAGCCTTTTACTGATAAATATTACTAATTATAAAATTTAACCAGACCTTATGAGTTCTTTAAATAATGGCTACAGACATCTCTTAAGTCCCTGCTGGTAGGATAGTGTAACCAGAAACAATGCAGTTATCATTTTCTCATAGAATCCACTCAACCTGTGTGTGAAGATTGTGCAAGGAATTCGAGCCATGGAAGTTGATTCCAGTCAATACTCTTTGGAATTGATTCAAATAGTTCATGCATGCCTTGACCAGGTAGATATAACTTACATATTGATTTTAGTGTCATGTTTTTTCTTTCTATCCTCAATGTTTAGGATATGGCATATTACAAATCACACAAAACCACATCTACTTCCCCAAGGTAGAATATGTGTATGTGGCTATACTCAGAATATACATTGGCAATTCATGATAGTTATGTGCCTCAACAAACACAACCTTCCCTTATTCTGCTCTGTACTTATTTGTGAGAAAGTGTTTTTGTTTGGGGGATTTTTTTTTTTTTGGTCAGTCATGGAGCTTGAACTCTGGGCCTGGGCACTGTCCCTCAGCTCTTCAGCTTAAGGCGAGTACTCTATCACTTGAGCCACAGTGCCACTTCTGGTTTTCTGGTGATTAATTGGAGATAGGAGTCTTATGGACTTAACTGCCCAGGCTGGCTTTGAACCACAATCCTGAGATCTCACCCTCCTGAGTAGCTAGGATTACAGGTGTGAGCCACCAGCACCCAGTTTGTGAGACAGTTTTGATGTCTAAATTCTGCTCTTTTTTTTTTTTTGGTCGGTCCTGGGGCTTGGGGGGCTTGGGTACCATCCCTCAGCTCTTCAGCTCAAGACGAGCTCTCTACAACTTGAGCTACAGTGCCACTTCCGGTTTTCTGGTGGTTTATTGGAGATAAGAGTCTCACGGACTTTCCTGCCTGGGCTGGCTTTGAACTGCAATTCTCAGCTCTCAGCCTCATGAGTAGCTAGGATTATAGGCGTGAGCCACCAGCATCCAGCTGCTCCATTTTTTTATAAGCAAGATTCATTTCTAAAACTGGTGGTTCATAGTGGTTCATACCTGTAATTCTAGCTACTCAGGTGACTGAGACTTGGGATCTTGGTTTGAAGCCAGCTCAGGTAGAACATCCATGAGGCTCTTATCTCCAATTAACTAGCAAAAAGCTGGAACTGGAACTGTGGCTCAAGTGATGAGTTCTAACCTTGAATGGAAAAAGCCAAGTGAGAGTATGAAGCCCCTGAATTCAAGCCCTAGCACCAGCATGGGGGAAGAAAAAAAGGTTGATTTAAGTTGATTTTTTTTAAAAATTATACCTAGTGGTAATTTAGAGTTCCTTATATACACAATGTATATAGTTCTATTATAATTCCCTTACTGTGTATGTAATACTAATTTTATTCAAAGTATTGTCAGAGAACCACTGATACCATAATCCCTAGTGAGTAGAGGAACTACAAGTAAAAATGAAAATTTCTGGGCCCTTCCACAGGCCAACAGAATGTCTGGATAAAACCAGAAGTCTTTATTTGTAACAGGTATACCAGGTGATACTTTGGTGCTGTATGTATTGAGATGTGTGAGCTTATTATTATTGAATAATAAGGCAAGGTAATTGTAGACATTCTCATTCATGTGCAGTGTTGATGATGATGGTGCATTAAATGTGTACTATTACATAAGAAATTGCTATTTTTGAAATTAAAGAATAATAATATGCAGAAACTTTTAAATATAGACTTCTAAGAAGACAAATAATTCCTCATTAGATCCCATATTACTCATCCCCTTTAAGTGAAAACTAATATTGTTTTGCTTTCTTAGGATCCTGAGCAGAGACCCACTGCAGATGAACTTCTGGATCGTCCCCTTTTGAGGAAACGCAGGAGGTAATGTACAAAAATCATCTCATTGTCTTTCCAGAGATGATTGAGAGTAGTACAGGAGTGTCTCCTAATTGGCTTCTCTAGTGCTCTTTTCTACCAACCCCTGCTTTCATTCCTTGAGGATGCCTCTTATTTCATTCTAATTTTGTATTGAGACCCAAAAGCCCTTAATGGTTTTTTTGTTTGTTTAGTGCCGGTCCTGGGGCTTGAACTCAGGACCTGGGTGCTCTCCTTTAGCTCTTTTGCTCAAGGCTGGCACTCTGCCACTTGAGCAGCAGGTCTACTTCCAGCTTTTTGCTAATTTGTGGAGATGAGAGTCTCAGATTTAGCCAGGCGCTGGTGGCTCACGCCTGTAATCCTAGCTACTCAGGAGGCTGAGATCTGAGGATTGCAGTTCAAAGCCAGCCCGGGCAGGAGAGACCGTGAGACTCCTATCTCCAATAAACCACCAGAAAACCGGAAGTGGTGCTGTAGCTCAAGTGGTAGAGCGCTCGCCTTGAACTGAAGAGCTGAGGGACAGCGCCCAGGCCCAGAGTTCAAGCCCCACAACTGACAAAAAAAAAAAAGAGTCAGATTTGTCTGCCCAAGCTGGCTTCAAATGACAGTCCTCAGCTTGGTGCCAGTGGCTGATGCCTGTAATCCTAGCTACTCAGGAGGCTGAGATCTGAGGATCATAATTCAAAGCTAGCCTGAGCAGGAAAGTCTGTGAGACTCTTATCTCCAATAAACCACCAGAAAATCGGAAGTGGCTCAAATGGTAGAACGCTTGCCTTGAGCTGAAGAGCTGAGGGACAGTGCGTAGGCCCAAAGTTCAAGCCCCATGACTGACAAAAAAGCTGTGCACCAGTGGCTCATGCCTGTAATCCTAGCTACTCAGGAGGCTTAGATCTGAAGATAAGGGTTCAAAACCAGCCCAGCAGGAAAGTCTGTGAGATACTTATCTCCAGTAAACCACTTAGAACACCGGAAGTGGTGCTGTGGCTCAAGTGGTAGAACATTTGCCCGGGCCAAGAGTTCAAGCCCTATTACCAGCAACAACAACAAAAAAACAGTCAGATCTCAGTGTCTCAAGTAGCTAGGATTACAGGTGTGGACCACCATCACCTAGCCCTATATGCGTTTTTTATTGAAGAGTCAAGACATTGATATTCTTAGGCTTGTATCTTTGAAAACAAAGATTTGAAACAAATACTTTAGTAGTATTAGAATTTAAACCCAGTATCTCTTCCTTGTAGCTTTATTTTCAATGGGTCTCGTGCTTTTTGCTGGGCTGGCCTTTTACCATAATCATTTTGCTTCTCCTTGCCTACCAGTTAGATAGAAGGGAGTCTAGGTGTGTACCACCACACCAACTTTGGTTTTGTTTTGATTTTTTTAAATCGTTATTTTTATTTTTGTTGATACTGGGTTTTGAACTCAGAACTTTGCACTTGGTTAGGCAAATGGATTACTACTTGAGCCACAATGCCACTTCTGGCCTTTTCTGAATAGTTTATTGGAGATAGGCATCTCATGAACTTTACTGCGTGTGCTAGCTTCAAACCACAATCCTCAGATCTCAGCCTCCTGAGTAGCTAGAATTATAGGAATGAGCCACCAGTGCCCTGCTTCTGTGAGACCTATCTCCAGTTAACTACCAGAAAACTGGAAGTGGAACTGTCGTTCAAAGTGATAGACCACTAGCCTTGAGCAAAAAGAGCTCATGAACAACACCCAGGTCCTGAGTTCAAGCCCCATGACCAACTCACCTCTGTAAGCTACTCAGGAGGCTGAGGTCTGAGGATCGGGGTTCAGCCCAGCCTGGGCAGGAAAGTCTGTGAGACTCTTATCTCCAATAAACCACTCAGAAAACTGAAAGTGGTAGAGTGCCAGCTTTGAGCTGAAGAGCTCAGGGACAGGGCCCAGGGCCCAGAGTTCAAGCCCCATGACTGACCCCCCAAAAAAAACTATAACATAAAAGCATGGGCACAAGAAATTGTGGGAAGTACTCAAGAAACACATAGTCCTATTTGGCTAGATTAGTGGTTCTAGTCCTTCTTCAGGAGCTTTCAAAATTTCCAGTGCTTGGGTCTGTAGGCATAGCTCAGCAGTAGAATGCCAGCTCAGCAACTAAGGGGCTTGAGTTCAAACTCCAGTACTATTTTAAAAAAATTTTTTTGTTTGTTTTTTTGATCAGTCATGGGGCCTGGGCTGAGCTCTTCAGCTCAAGACGAGCACTCTACCACTTGAGCCACAGCACCACTTCCAGTTTTCTGGTAGGTAATTGGAGATGAGTCTCACGGATTTTCCTGCCTGGGCTGGCTTTGAACCATGACCCTCAGATCTCAGCCTCCTGAGTAGCTAGGATTATGTTGAGCCACTGGCACCCAGCAAAAATAATTCTTAGTGGTAGGAAATTATTTGCATAAACTATTCCGAAATTTAAAAAGAATTACTGATGTCTGCCTACTACCACCATAGTTCATCAGTAGTAGAACAATAATAAATTTATGTTGAATAATAACCCTGGCTAGAACATGGATTCTTAGTGAAAGGAAGGAAGGTAGAGAATCTTGAATGCCAGGTTTGGCTCAAGAGAGTACATAAGTATTCAGTGATTGTGAAGAGCAGTTCATATGATGAGAGATGTACCTAAGGAAGAGTCATTTAGCAGTACTATGATTAGGTTAAAATAGGACTAATGAAAGCAGATTAGGACTCTACTAGGTTTGGCTGGCTAGGAAACCCTACTATAGTACAAACGTTCACAACTAAGATGATAGGACTTCGGCAGGAAGAGTTGAGTTTTAAAAGGTATTGTGGTCAGGTATGATGGCATATACCTGCAATCTCAGCACTTGGGAGGCTGAGGCACAAATATTTCAAGTTTGAAGCCACCCTAGGACATATAGCTAGTTGAAAGTCAGTATGGAAATCATTGAGACATCGGTCTCAAAAAGCAATGGCAAAGAGAAAAAGTACTGATAGGTAAACATATAGAAATTAAATGTTGAAGAAAGGAGAGAAGGGTTAGAGGTAACTGAATTTGATTGGGAGAGAATGGGTGAGAGTGTTGCCAATTACAAAAATAAGGCTGTCAGCAGGACACATTGGTAGTTCCCGCCTATAATCCTAGCTACTCTGGAGGCTGAGATTTGAAGATTGCAGTTCAAAGCCAGCCTGGGCAGGCAAGTCTGTGAGACTTGGTGCTCTCCTTTAGCCTGGGTGCTCTCCTTTAGCTCTTTTGCTCAAGGCTGGCACTCTGCCACTTGAGCAGCAGGTCTACTTCCAGCTTTTTGCTAATTTGTGGAGATAAGAGTCTCAGATTTAGCCGGGCGCTGGTGGCTCACGCCTGTAATCCTAGCTACTCAGGAGGCTGAGATCTGAGGATTGCGGTTCAAAGCCAGCCTGGGCAGGAGAGACCGTGAGACTCCTATCTCCAATAAACCACCAGAAAACCAGAAGTGGTGCTATAGCTCAAGTGGTAGAGCGCTCGCCTTGAGCTGAAGAGCTGAGGGACAGCGCCCAGGCCCAGAGTTCAAGCCCCACGACCGACAAAATAAAAAAAAAGAGTGCTAGCCTTGAGCTGAAGAGCTGAGCTACAGTGTCCAGGACCAGAGTTCAAGCCTCACAACTGACAAAAAAAAAAGTGTGTGTGTGTGTGTGTGTGTGTGTCGGTTATAGGGCTTGAACTCAGGGCCTGGTGTGGTGGGGGGGCTTATAAGGCTTGAACTCAGGGCCTGGTGTGTGTGTGGGGGGGGCTTATAAGGCTTGAACTCAGGGCCTGGAAGCTGTCCCTGAGCTCTTTGTTCAAGGCTAGCACTCTACCACTTTGAGTTATAGCTGCACTTCGTTTTTGAGTAGTTACTTGGACATTCAAAAGGCTGAGATCTGAGGATCTCGATTCAAAGCCAGCCCAAGCAGGAAAGTCCGTGAGACTCTTATCTCCAGTTACCACTAGAAAACCAGAAGTGGTGCTGTGGCTCAAGCGGTAGAGTGCTCACCTTGAGCTGAAGAGCGCGGGGACAGCGCCCAAGCCCAGAGTTCAAGCCCCATGACCGACGGAAAAAAAGAGTCATGGGGACTTTTCTGCCCAGGCTGGTTTCAAACTGTGATCCCCAGATCTTAGCCTCCTGAGTAGCTGATGTGAGCCACCCAGCACCTTGCTTTAAGAAAAAAAAAAAAAGCTGAAGGACAGCGTGCCCAGACCCTGAGTTCAACCCCCAGGACTGGCCAAAAAAAAGGGAGGAGGAATCAGAAAGTCAAGCTGGTTTGGAAAAAAGATAACAAGGGTAGGACTGGAGATTTTGCATTTGGGCAGGTGGCCAAGTAGATGGAGATGTCCATTACTTGCATCAGAGGATCTATCATGTGTTCCCTGCTTCAGTCTAGTCTGTTTATTGGAGATAAAAAGTAAATGGCCCCAAACCACTGGTCACTTTGTATCTAATGCCAGGTGTGAGTATAGAGATATTTTCCTAAAGGTATTACCATATTGTAGGATGCTTATGATTAATAAGAGGATTCAGTTTGACATGTATTGAGACATGTTACAGTTTAGAATCTGTTGTTTTACTCATCCTTTTTTCATTTGGTAGAGAGATGGAGGAAAAAGTCACTCTGCTTAATGGACCTACAAAGAGACCAAGGTAATGTTCAAATGAGTCTGTATATCCTCGCTTCTCACCATGAAGATTAGTTGATCCCAGTAGCCTTTGAAATCCTGTCAGGAGTCAACATCTGCTTATATGTCAGACTCACTTCTAAGGAGAAAACTATAAGTCACCCTCATACTAAAGTAGATATCAGGGCTGGGAAGGTGACTCAGTGGTAGAGTGCTGGCCTAGCATGCATGAAGCCCTGGGTTCAATTCCTCAGTACCACATAAACAGAAAAGGCTGGAAGTGATGCTGTGGCTCAAGTGGTAGAGTGCTAGCCTTGGGCAAAAGAAACTCAGGGACAGTGCTCAGGCCCTGAGTTCAAGCCCCAGGACTGGAAAAAAAAAAAAGTGGGTATCATTGCATGGTGAGTGTTGGAAAGTATAAATGTTGCAAATCAGATTGGAATCTGTGATTCTACTCTGCCCTCAGGCAGGCTTTGCAAAGCAAGAGTTGAGAGAACATACTTTCTCAAACCTAGGTTGTCAATACTAGCCACAGCATTCTTAGGTACTAATTGCACATTCAATGTGCCTTTGTTCTGGGGGTTGTTGGCAGGTCAAGTACCGTGACTGAAGCACCCATTGCTGTGGTAACATCACGAACCAGTGAAGTATATGTTTGGGGTGGTGGAAAATCCACACCCCAGAAATTGGATGTCATCAAAAGTGGCTGTAGTGCTCGGCAGGTGTGCGCCGGGAATACACATTTTGCTGTGGTCACAGTGGAGAAGGAACTATACACCTGGGTGGTAAGTGGAGCAATGCTGTCAGCCTGGTTGCTTAAGGGACCCAAGCTGTCCTAATCATTTGTTAGTTAGCTATGTTTCAGGACTACAAGAGGGAGTTGGTATATCGGCCCTTGTGAGAGCAAGGATTTGGTCTGCCCATAACTGGGAGGAAGGGGAGAGAGTATGGGAGTAGGGGAAGATGGGAGGGAGTCTTAGGTTTGGAATCAGGTTGCCATTTACATTTGGATGATTTCAGACAAATTTGTTACTCTGTTAATGTTACTATGAGGGTCAGAACAGGAGTGTCTGTGAAATAGCTTTGTAAACAAAGCATATACCATGTCAGGAAGCCTCTGAGACCCTCACCTGTGATTGAAAATGACTGGTTATATCCTCCATACCCATACAGATTTTCCTTTGTTGCTGTCTAGATTCTGCCCTGACTCTCACCTTCTTAACAAACTGTGCTTGCTGCCTATTTTCTTACCTCCCTCTCCTCACTCATCTACAGTTGCAGCTTCATTCCCTGACATTCATTTGAAATGTGTCTTGAGCAAATGATAAATTGGTAAAGCAAAATAGATGCTTTTTAACCCTTGCCTAGCTAGACCTCTCAGCAACGTTTGATATAGTTAACCACTCCTTCCTTCTTGAAGCTGTGTTCCATAATAGCATGTTCGCTTGGTTTCTCTCTGAGGGAGCTCCCCCACCCTCCCAGTAGTTTCAGATACCTTCTCAGTTAGTATAGGAACTAAATCTTACTCGCTTCTGAAGCCCTAATACGTGAGAGTGGACACACAAACTATTATTGAAATAAAGAATGAATGATTTGGCTTAGGATGGAATGACAGTTTCCTGCTATTTCCTAACACCTGCCCCCTTACAATATTAGCCCCTGGGCAGTTACCAAAATAGAATGAAACCAGTACTTTAAAAACCATTTATAGGCTGGCACCGGTGGCTCACAACTGTAATCCTAGGGACTCAAAGCCAGCCCAGACAGGAAGAAGTCCATGAGACTTTTATAACCAATTAGCAAAACTCCAATAGAGCTATGGCTCAAGTGGTAAAGTACTAGACTTGAGCAATAAAAGCTCAGGAAGCCTTAGGACCAGCATCAAAAAAACCATAAGCCAGGCGCTGGTGGCTTACAGCTGTAATCCTAGCTACTCAGGAGGCTGAAATCTGAGGATCACAGTTCAAAGCCAGCCTGGGCAGGAAAGTTCTTGAGACTCTTATCTCCAGTTAACAACCAGAAAACCAGAAGTGGCACTGTAGCTCAAGTGGTAGAGTGCTTGCCTTGAGCTGAAGAGCTGAGGGACACTACCCAGGCCCAGAGTTCAAGCCCCATGACAAAAAAAAAAAAAAAAAAAACCCACAAAACTATAAAGCAGAGTGCTGGTGTAATCCTAGTTAACTCAGAAGGCTGAGTTCTGAGGGTTGTGGTTCAAAGCCAGCCCAAGCAGGAAGTCTATGACACTCTTTAATCTCCAGTTAAGTACCAGAAAAATCATAAGTAGAGCTGTGGCTCAAAGTGGTAGAGTGCTTGTCTTGAGCAAAATAACTCAGGGACAATGCCCAGGCCCTAAGTTCAAGCTCTACAACCAACCAAAAAAAAAAAAAATTATAGAAAGACTTATAGTTGAGTCATTGAATGGGAAGAATTATCTGTACATGTAAAACTTGGAAAGTCATGTATCAGTGCTGTGTAGCAGCTTCTTTGATATAGCAAGATTTCTTTCTTGCTTTTCTGGGAAAATGACTAAAATTTGTAAAACTCCTAAAAGCTAGACTCTTGTAGAAAGCAATGAAATTATACTTTATGGAGAATTTTTCAACATCACCCATGATTAAATATATAGTTTCAGCTTAGATTTGAAGAACAAAGACAAAATTAATATGTCCGATTCATATCCTAATGGATGTGGACATGTATACTTGTAAAAATCGTTACCTGTCAGTAGAGGTTTTGTGCTGCATACTAAAAGGTCTGATCCCCTTATCCATTATTTTCTTTAAACTATTCTTTTTCTACCATTTTTCTTCATAAGAAGTTAGTAATTAGCTTTTAGTGTGAAAAGTTACAACTTCACAACCTCTTCATTTCACAGAACATGCAAGGGGGTACTAAACTCCACGGTCAGCTGGGCCATGGAGACAAAGCTTCCTATCGACAACCAAAGCACGTGGAAAAATTGCAAGGCAAAGCTATCCGTCAGGTCTCATGTGGTGATGATTTCACTGTCTGTGTGACAGGTAAGCCATTAGCAGAAAGCATTTGAGAGCCATTTAGGTTATGGTAGGTTATGGTGCTGAATGTTCTTCTCTTTTATTTATTTTGATTATTTATTTTGGTTGGTTGTGGGGCTTGAACTCAGGGCTTGAGCACTATCCCAAGCTTTTGTGCTCAAGGCTAGAGCTCTACTACTTTGAGCCACAGGGCTACTTCCAATTTTCTGGTGGTTAATTTGAGATAAGAGTTTCACAGACTTTTCCTACCTGGTCTGGCTTCAAACCAAGATCCTCAGATCCTCAGCCTTCTGAGTAACTAGAATCACAGGCACGAGCCACCACTACCTGGCAGTTTTAGATGGGATTTTATAACAACACAATAAAAATCCAGAAAAACCAAAAGACATTATAAACAACTCATTCATGACAATTCAAGTTTATTTTGCCATGAATTAGGAAGTGATGAACAAGGGGAAGTCACATCAATAACACAGGTTATGGATTAGGGAGACATTTGTTGTATTTGGGAAAAGGAAAAAGACATTTGGAAAATAGGAACATAATCTCCCTACCTGTTCAGACTCTGTATAGCACAAAATTAGGACCAAAAATTAAATCTAGTTTGGGTCTTAGCATTTTATGAAACCTTAGTACTTTTCTCTTTACTTACAAAATATAGAAGACTAGTAAAAATGTAGAGTCCTTTTTGACTTGGTAATACTACCTTTTTTAGAACTTCATAAAACCTAGTGCTGATGGTTCACACCTGTAGTCTTAGCTACTCAGGAGGCTGAGATCCAGAGGATTGCAATTCAAAGCCAACCTGGACAGAAAAGTCCATATCCAAAATTACCAACAAAAAGCCAGGCTGGCTGCATGGCTTACATGATAGAGACTAACTGAGTAAGCAAGAGGCCTAAGTTCATATTCTAGTGCTGGGGAACTAAAAACAACAACAAAATAACTTAGTCATTATAGTAATACTTCGTGTGACTCCTTAACTGGAAATAGCTCTAGACTTACATGGTTTATTATTTAGACTTCGGATGTAATCATCTCACATGAGATCATTGGCTGGGGTAGTCTTCATTCTATCCCTATTCAGTTTTCTGGTTGGACAAAATAAGTCATTCCTGTGATGAACTGTTTTACTTCCTTGTGCAGATGAAGGTCAGCTCTATGCCTTTGGATCTGATTATTACGGCTGTATGGGGATGGACAAAGTTGCTGGCCCTGAAGTTCTGGAACCTATGCAGCTGAATTTCTTCCTCGACAATCCGGTGGAACAAGTCTCCTGTGGGGATAATCATGTGGTGGTTCTGACACGGAACAAAGAAGTCTATTCTTGGGGCTGTGGTGAATATGGTAGGTATAGCTCAGGTGTACAGCTTGATTTCAGACTGTGTGAATCTAAGCACATCATTTAGCCTCTGAGAAATGTTAATTCAGTAACAGACTCTTATAGAACATCCTCATTGGTATAAAGATCCTCATCATAATGGCTTTATTTCTTATGCATGTTTCAGGACGTCTAGGTTTGGATTCAGAAGAGGATTATTGTACACCACAAAAGGTAAAGTCAAACAGCTTCTTCCTAAAGCCTGTGTAAAACACATAACCCCTAAAAATATATCCTTTCACCCTATCGTTGACTCCTCATATTAAAGTGTTAATTTCTGAAGAAATTCCTATCTGAGAGCCTGACAATCTAAGACTCCTAATTCAGTTATATGTGGTCTTGTCATCTGAAAAAGTCAGGAAGTTGAGAGAGTAGGTATAGGTACTATGAACATTGTGGTATCATATCACAACTACTAGAAAAAAGTACAGCAAAAAATTCAAGTATAGCTAAACATATGACTAAACATTTTCCCATCTGTGTACAGTTGAACACCAGATGAGTAGATCTTTTTTTGCTTTGAGATCATGTGGTCTGAAACATGTGACTACTCCCAAGACTATCAGAACTGGCTCTCTGAAGGAAAAGCACATCTCTCTCACTCCCTGGGGACAAGTTTATACTGGCTGACATCCACTACACTACGTACTGTTACCAGTTTTTATTTAAACATTAACTGATGGTATGGAGACTATCCTCATTGGAATTTATATATAGCTGTTCCTTTTCTCCTAAAGAGGCGGTAGTCGAAACTTGGGACTCACATTTCACAAATAGCCATCATGGCCACATCTGTCACTCTCTTTCTTTAACCCTGTGTAGTTAGCTGTAGAAGTATATATTTGGAAGACGACTACTTTTTTTTTTTTTTTTTTTGCTAGACCTGAGGCTTGAACTCAGGACCTGGGCACTGTCCCTGAGCTTCTTTTGCTCAAAGCTAGCATTCTACCACTTGAGCCACAATGCCACTTCCAGCTTTTTCTGCTTAAGTGGTACTGAGGAATCAAACCCAGGGCTTCTTGCATGCAAGGCAAGCACTCTACCATTAAGCTAAGCCACATTCTCTTACTCTTGTCACTTCGTGTGTGTGTGTGTGTGTGTGTGTGTGTGTGTGTGTGTGTGTGTGTGTGTGGCACTCTACCACTTGAATCACGGCTCTGTTTTTTGTTGGTTAATTAGAGGTAAGAATCTCACAGTCTTTCTTGCCTAGGCTGGCTTTGAACTGTAATCCTTAGATCTCAGCCTCCTGGATACCTAAGATTATAGGCATAAGCCACTGGCACCCAGTTCTATCACTTTTTTCTTTCTTTTTTTAATTAACAGATCAGTAGGCTAGAGGCATACTGTGCCAGCCTAACAAACATGAGGTGCTAAGTTCAAAATTTCTAGTACTAACCAAAAATAAGACCAGATCAGGATCCAAAGGGCTGTTGAACTTGTTTTGTAAATGTCAAGGTACTCTCTGTCTCATTAGACAAAGCCAGTGAGGGATTAAGGCCAATCCTTTCCCAGCACTTGTATTGCTCTTTCTCTCAAGTTTTCTTTTCCAGAGAAGTAAGATCTGTTGCTAAAACAGATCTATAGAATCTGTCTACTTAGTTGTCCTAGAACTGCCACTTTTTCCTTTATATATTAAAATTTGCGTTCTACCTTGCAAAGGGTAGCCTTCAAACTACTGGGCAAATCTGAAGAGAACAGTTCAACTATATTTCCTTATAATCATTCTTCTGAATGTAGCAAGTCCTTTTGTGAAAGACTAAGGGGTTTTCCTAATATGAATGCGGTACTTAGATTTTTTTTTTCTGATTTACTATTTCTTTGCAGGTGGATGTTCCCAAGGCCTTAATTATTGTTGCTGTTCAGTGTGGCTGTGATGGGACCTTTCTGCTGACTCAGTCAGGCAAAGTGCTGGCCTGTGGGCTCAATGAGTTCAACAAACTGGGTCTGAATCAGTGCATGTCTGGAATCATCAATCACGAAGTGAGTATTCTCTTGATGTCCTGACCACATTGTCAGAACTATTGTAGACTGGAATACCTTTGGAATACTGTTATTGGTTAGTGACCATAGAAGTTGATTTAAGAATAAAGAATACATATTGCATTCAGCAAAAGAAGACAGCCACAAAAGGCACATACTGTATGATTATAGATGTGAAATTTAGCAACATTCAAAATTAAATTACTGTGGCATTAGTCAAGAGAAGTTACTTCTTGGAGGAGTGTGGGTCTTAACAAAAAAGTGAAAAGATTACCCATTATCTCTGGTGCTGGAAATGGTCTGTGTCTTAACTAGAGTGATTTTACAGAACAGAAAAATAATCAGACTGACAATATTTTGCAGTATGTTATAGCTCAATAAAATTGATAACAGCAAACAAAATTGTAGGTTCTATCCTTATTACTGGAATAGGAACAGGAAAATTACTGTGAAAAAGGAACATTCTAATATATCACCTCCCTGGAGAGATTTTAGATTTATTGTTTCTTTTTGTTGTTTTTTTGGGTCCAGTTGTGGGGCCTGAACTCTGGGCCTGGGTGCTGTCCCTCAGCTCTTCAGCTCAAGGCTAGTACTCTACCACTTGAGCCACAGCACCACTTCCTACTTTTTTTTTTCTGCTTATGTGGTGCTGAGGAATCGAACCCAGGCCTCAAGCATGCAAGGCAAGCACTCTACCACTGCGCCACCTTCCCAGCCCATAGATTTATTGTTTCTAAAACACTGCTTACTAAATGTAATTACCATTTTCCTCCTTTAAGGATGTCACCAAATTAACCAATGATAGTCTTGGTTTTTCTCTTTGAATGATAGTCTTGGTTTTTCTCTATGTGTAATAGCATGACTTTCTGTCTTTTTTTGTTGTTGTTAGTCATGGGGCTTCAACTCTGGACCTGGGCTCTGTCCCTGAGCTCTTCTGCTCAAAGCTAGCGCTCTACCACTTGAGCCACAGTGCCACTTCTGGTTTTCTGGTGTTTTATTGAAGATTAGACTCTCACAGAGTTTCCTGCCCCCTAGCTGGCTTTGAACCGCAGTCCTCAGATCTCAGCCTCCTGAGTAGCTAGGACTACAGACTACTTTGTGTCATCTCTAAAGAGTCAAGTTAAGAAACATAAATTTCCTCACTCAATGAAAAAGGATAGAGTAGAGTTTTAAGTCTTTGAAGTAGTGAGTCTTAGAAGATTACAAAGTCAGGGCAAGGCTGAAGAATATGTAATTTGAAAGGTTTGTTCAGAATTACTACTTGATTTTTGTGTTTTGTTAGAAAACTAGATTTGTTGTGAAATTTTAATTTATGTGAGGGTATTTTTCTTTTAATATGAACTCAAAAGGCCTTATGGGTTTTAAAAAGTGATGAAACACTGCTCCGTGGGTGAAATTAAATCTTCAGTAACTGATTACTTAGAGGCTGGAGAGATTCTTCTGATTTCAATTCTTTTTCCTGCTATTGTTAGGTGTGCAGAATATATAACCAAAACAATGTCAGGGAGTCTGTCCTTAAAATAATATCTTTTCTAGGTGCCAGTGGCTCACACCTGTAATCCTGGCTACTCAGAAGGCTGAGATCCAAGGATCACAGTTCAAAGCCAGCCCAGGCAGGAAAGTCCATGAGACTCTTATCTCCAATTAAACACCAGAAAATAGAAGTAGTGCTGTGGCTTAAAGTGGTAGAGCACTAGTCTTGAGCTGAAGAACTCAGGGACAGCACTCAAGCCCAGAGTTCAAGCCTCATGACCGACCAAAAAGAAAAAAGGAAAAAAAAAACTTCTACAGTGTTCATGTATTACACACTTTTCACTCAGAATATAAAAATGTGTTGTCAGAAAGTCCTGCTTGGTATGCTAAATTCTTGTTGACATGTTGAGCTTATTTCTTCTTGTATCCTTTTAAAGATGGCAAACTTCCTGGCACTCAGTAACATGGTTTGTTGAAAGACTTTTTGGTCACCATGACCTTTTCCATTCTCAGTTTAATTATCCCTTCATTTTTTACTTCATGAGTCTTTGTGTTTTACTTGTTTCAGGCATACCATGAAGTTCCTTACACAACTTCCTTTACCCTGGCTAAACAGTTATCCTTTTATAAGATCCGTACCATTGCCCCAGGCAAGACTCATACAGCTGCTATTGATGGTGAGTTGACTATCAATCATATCTCATGCATTAGGAGCTCAGGCTCCTTTATACTATGAACAATGCATGTTCTGATCTGACAGCTTCCTGTAATCCACTTTGTGTGTGTGTGTATGTGTGGGAGAGAGACAGAGAGAGACAGACAGACAGAGACAGAGAGAGATTGAATGCTGGTCTTTAGGTCTTAAATTCAGGGCTTAGGCACTGTCCCTGAGTTTCTCTGCTCAAGGCTGGCAAACTACCATTTGAGCCAGAGCTCCACTTTGAGCTTTTTCAGCTAGTTAATTGGAAATAGAATCTCACAGACTTTCCTACCTGGGCTGGCTTCAAACCACGATCTTCAGATCTCAGCCTTCTGAGTAGGCTGGATTACAGGCATGGGCCACTGGCTCATTTTTGGTGATAGTCCCTATAAATAAAAGATAAATAAATGCATCTCATAATAAGAATCTCTCTCTCTCTCTCTCTCTCTCTTTTTTTTTTTTTTGCCAGTCCTGAGGCTTGAACTCAGGGCCTGGGCAATGTTCATGAGCTCCTTTTTTTCTTTGCTCAAGGCTAGCACTCTACCAAGCCACAGCACTGAGGAATCAAACCCAGGCAAGCACTCTACCACTAAGCCACATTCTCAGCCCCAGAATCTCATTCTTATAATTCTTGACTTCTGTTGTCTTTAAATGGCCTGTATGGTAAGTATTCCAAGTTAGACAGTATCTGTTATCCATGTTAAAAACTCAATTTGGGGGAGAAAACACAATTTTCTGTTAGTAGGTCCAGATGGTCACAGTGTCTAGATAGCCTGGCGACCATAGGTCCAGGATCATATGGCTAGCATCCTAATCATATCTTCTAGCAACTAGAAGTTAGTGAATGGAAGTCTATATAGGTTACATTTTTCTTCTGTTCCATGAACCACTAGAGCTTAATTATTTTTGCTTCTCTCTCAGAGCGAGGCCGCCTTTTGACCTTTGGCTGCAATAAGTGTGGACAGCTGGGTGTTGGGAATTACAAGAAGCGTCTGGGAATCAACTTATTGGGTGGACCCCTTGGTGGGAAGCAAGTGATTAGGGTTTCCTGTGGTGATGAGTTCACCATCGCTGCCACAGATGGTGAGTCTGTATATGTCATTTCATGCTTTTTGGACAGATGACTTATGTTTTAATTCTTTTTTTTAATTGTTCACTCTTTAATTATTTTTGATTATCTATAAGTAGTTGTACAGAGAAGTTGCTATTCAACAAAGCAGTTTATGAATACAATACATCTTTGTCATTCTCCTCCATCCCTTCTGTGTTTTAATTCCTGCTTGGGATGGGAGAGACTAGTTTTTGTATAACTGAATCATGGTTTTCCTTTTTTATTTGTATGAAATTGGTGGTTACCACCTGAAATGGAACATTTATTTATTTATATGTTGTCAGTCTCCCCATTTAAAATGCCAGTTCCAAAGGAGCAAGGACTTTATTTTGTTCAGTGCTCAATTTTTTCAAGCCATGCCTTCCATGATGTAGATTCCCAATATGTGTTTGAGTGAGTGACCAGTACAAAGGTGATAAGTAAATGAATGACAGTACAGAGTAGCAATAGTGACTTTTGCCTGGAAGTAATCAGGAAAACTTTATGCTTTATACAGGGAAATAATCAGCTTTCTTTGAATTTGTAAAGAGTAGAACATCTCTTTAGTTCTAGGGCATAAAGAGGAGAAATCAAAGAGTTGGGAAGCCAGTGTTCTGTTAAAAATGATCTGTTGTCTAATATAGATAATCATATTTTTGCCTGGGGCAATGGTGGTAATGGACGTCTGGCAATGACTCCCACTGAAAGACCACATGGCTCTGATATCTGTACCTCATGGCCTAGGCCTATTTTTGGATCTCTGCATCATGTTCCAGACCTATCTTGCCGTGGCTGGCACACCATTCTCATTGTTGGTAAGTGTTTCATACGTGTGGGCTTTGGTGGCTTTGTCAGAATTGATCCATAACTAAATACTACTGGGCACATTCTTGGAAACATAAGTGTCATGAAGCAAGAGCTAGTTCTGTTAAATCCTGTAACAGTCAGGGATACCAAACTGAATGATAGGAACAAAACTGTAAGTTTTTAGTTTTGTCATTATTTTTTTGTTGTTGTTTTTGTTGTGTTTTGTTTCTGGTGCTGGTCTTGGGGCTTGAACTCAAGGCCTAACAGCATTTTTGCCCAAGTATAGAGCTCTGTTCCCTGAGCCACAGTTCCACGTCTGACTTTTTTTGGTAGTTCATGGAGATAAGACTGTTTCAGGCTTTCCTGCGTGGGCTAGTTTCAAACTACAATCCTCAGATTTCAGCCTCTGAGTTGATAGGATTACAGGTGTGAGCCACTAGAGCCTGGTTCAGTACATGTTTTAAAAGAAAATCTTTGGTCATAAAGATAACTTTGGGGCTGGGAAGGTGGCTCAGTGATAGAGTGCTTGCCTTGCATGCATGAGGGCTTGGGTTCAATTTCTCTGCACCACATAAGCAGAAAAAGCTAGAAGTGGTGCTGTGGAAGTGGCCTTGAGCTGAAGAGCTAAGAGACAGTGCCCAGGCCCACAGTTCAGGCCCCGTGACTGACCAAAAAAAAAAAAGATAACTTTGTTTGGACTTAATTTTAAAAGCCTTGGCTGAACATCAGAATCTTTTGGAGAGTTGTTACAAATTCTAGTCCTGACCAATTAAATCTTAATTTCTAGAGTGTTACTTTCCAGTTTCCCAGGTGATTCCAGTGGGTAGCAGGGGTGGAACATGCAGTTCTCTAAATGTACTTAGAGTAGCTAGTGGTATTTAGATAATGACATTAATTGCTAAACAATAATCATATATTCTTAATATATATTTTTATTGTAAAGATACTGGACAAAGGGGTTACAGTTACATGAGTAAGGTAATGAGTACATTCCTATCGAGCATTGTTACCCCCTCCTTTGTTTTTCCCCTATCATCCCTTCCCTCCCCACCTCCCCAGTAATCATATATTTACCTATAGCAAGGAATAGCAGTTATCTTCTACATTACCTCCCTATAGTTCCCTCTTACTGTTCTTGCCCATCTCTGCACAAAATGCTTACCTACTGATTTTTTTTTTCCTCAGAGAAAGTACTGAATTCTAAGACCATCCGTTCTAATAGCAGTGGCCTCTCCATTGGAACTGGTAAGTAGTAATGTCTCAAGTAGCAGTGTTTTTTCTCATATGTGGGTCTTTGGGTTAGATAACATACATTCTCCAAAACTGAAAGGAAAATAGTAAGTGAGGACAAATGAGGAGAAGTGAAGAATACAGTGACTAGGAGGGAGCATCCCATTTTGGTGAATTTCACAATAACTCATGAATGGCATTGTGGTCAGAAAGAGAATACATCTTTGCCTTCATGCATATGGAAGTAATTAAGTGTTTGCCTCACATTGTAATGTGACTTATATAATATTTCTTTCTATCCTAGGGACCAAAGATTTTCTCTGCCCGTTATTTCATGGTATTCCTCAGAGTATTCCATTCTATAGAAATAGTCCTTCAGCACAAGCCTTTAGCTGGTGGCTCATACCTATAATCTTAGCTACTCAGGAGACTGAGATCTGAGGATCATGGCTCAAAACCAGTTCAGGCAGAAAAATCCATGAGACTTATCTTCAATAATCACCAAGAAACTGGAAGTGGAAGTGTGGCTCAAGTGGTAGAGTACCAGCACTGAACAAAAAAAGCTAAAAGACAGCACTTACGCCCTGAGTTCAAGCTCCAGTACTGGCACAAAAAAATAATAATAATAAAAAACAAGCCCTTAGAAATAAAATTCATGGGGCTGGGAAGTTGGCTCAGTGGTAGAGGGCTTGCCTTGCATGCATGAGGCCCTGGGTTTGATTCCTCAGCACCACATAAGCAGAAAAAAGACGGAAGTAGCACTGTGGCTCAAGTGGTAGGGCACTAGCCTTGAGCTGCAGAGCTGAGGGACAGCGCCCAGGCCCAGAGTTCAGCCCCCACAACTGACAAAAAAAAGAAAAGAAAAAAAAGAAATGAAAGTCATGAACAAGGGAAAGGGTGACATTATCCTAAATGAAATGTACTCTTTACCTGACTTATATAACTATAATCCCCTTTTTAATAAAAGAAAAATTAAAATAAATAAAGGTCAAATAGACTTTCAGCATGGTTAGAAGAGTCAGCACATGCCTCTATAATAATCTTCCTTTGGCTGCTTCTTTCATGGTTATCTTGTTTGGGCCTATCAAGAAACTGAATCTGTATTCCTTTTTGGTTGTCTACCTGCCAGAGTCCATGCATATCAGAACCAATTCTGATATACAGAATCAAATAAATGAGAACCCAAAATAAATGCAGATTAATCTCTTAAAAAGAAGGGCTGGGAAGGTGGCTCAGTGGTAGAGTGTTTGCCTCACATGCCCTGAGTTCGATTCCTCAGCACCACATAATCAGGAAAAAAGCTGGAAGTGGCACTGTGGCTCAAGTGGTAGAGCACTAGCCTTGAGCTGAAGAGCTGAGGGACACCATCCAAGCCTAGAGTTCAGGCCTCACAACTGACAAAAAAAAAAAAAATCAAAAATCTTACATAGTCTTGTTGAGCTTTAATTTGTAAATATAGATACACAGCACAGCATTTATTGGTTTTCTGAAATTGTTCAGCATCTCAATTTGTGCATGTTAATGTAATGTTATGTAATGTAATGTTAAGGTAATTAAATATCTTTTTCTCCAAACATGGTTATTCTTTTGCAACTTTGCTTTGCTGGAACAGTATTTCATGGAAAAAGATAAGATAAAGCAAATGATTGGCCAGGAAATGTAAACTCAGCAGTGTATAATTAATGTGATAAATGCTCTAGAAGTAGTTGTTGAATGAAAGTGTTATACCCATCTGTTGGTCTGGGTTTTATATAGGAATGGAAATGAACACCATCCCTAAGTATTTTCATAATACAAAATGTAGAAAGTAAGTTGCCGTGTGAAAAAGCCACTTCTGGCTTTTTTCTTTTTGCTTATGTGGTGCTGAGGAATCAAACCTAGGGCCTCAGGCATGCAAGGCAAGCGCTCTACCACTGAGCCAACTTCCCAGCCCCCCACATATAGTTTTAAACAAGCCAAATAATAAATTCTTTAAGAGTATGCAAAGACAGGCACTGGTGGCTCATGCCTGTAATTCTAGCCACTCAGGAGGCTGATATCTTAAGATCTCGGTTCAAAGCCAGCCGGGCAAGAAAGCCCATGAGACTTTTATCTCCAGTTCACCACCAGAAAACTGGAAGTGGTGCTGTGGCTCAAGTGGTAGAGCTCTACCTAAAGAGCTCAGGGACAGCGCCCAAGCCCAGAGTTCAAACTTCACAACTGACCAAAAAAAAAAAGAGTACATAATAACATGAAATGAAGAAGAAATGGTAAATACAAAATTGGTAATGCTGGGTAATCCTAGCTTCTCAAGAGGCTGAGATCTGAGGATCACAGAAGATAGCCCCTGCAGGAGAGTCTGTGAGACTGTCTTCAATTAACTATCAAAAGCCAGAAGTGGAGCTGTGACTCAAGTGGTAGAGTGCTATCCTTGAGCAAAAAGCTTCACCCAGGCCCCAGGTTCAAGCTCCAGACTGGCACCCGCTTCACAACCCAAAAAAAATCAGTAGTTTTATCTTAGTAGGAGACTAGAGGAGGAAGGACTATTCAAGGCAAATGCAATGATAGAGACAGCAGTATCCAATAGAACCTTCGATGACTGAATATTCTATATCTGTGCTATCCAGAATAATAGCACTTAAAAAAGCAGCTAGTAAAACTGAGAAACTGAATTTTTAATTTTATTTAAATTTAAATCATTATATCAAGTGACTACCATCTGGGATAGTGCCATTCTAGTTCTTTTACTGACAGTATTTCACTTGTCTATTGTTGAGCATCAAAGAAAATTGGACATTTGTTTCGAACATAATATTTAAGTAGTTGTACAAAGAATTTCAACTCAACATGTCAGTTTATTAATCAAACGTATCTTGATCAGTGTCACCCCGTCATCAGTTCTCCACTACTCCTAACCACACCCATCCCCTCTAGCTACCTGAAGCCATTTGAACTCTTCACTCTTGTTTAGAATTTCTTGCTCAAAGCTTACGGTCTACTACTTGAACCATACCTCTACTTCTGACTTTTTGCTGGTTAACTGAGAATCAGAGTCCCTCGGGCCAGGCACCAGTGGCATGCCTAACTAGTCATGAAGCTGGAGTCTGAGGATCAAAGTTCAATGCTAGCTCAGGCAAGAAAGTCTGTGAGACTTTTATCTCCAAATCAACCAGCAAAAAGCCTGAAGTGGTGCAAGCACCATCCTTGAATGAAAAAGCGAAGGGACAGTACCTAGACAAAGTTCAAGCCTCCATACCGGCATGCGTGCATGCACAGGTGCGCACACACACACACATACACACACACACACATCTTAAGTCTCAGATTTTTCTGCCCAGGCTGGCTTTTAACTGCAGTTCCCAGATCTCAGCTTCCTGAATAGCTAGGATTACAGGCATGACTGTTATTAAAAATCATTTAAAGCCAGGTGCTAGTAGTTGTAATTCTGTCTACTCAGAGGCTGAGATCTGAAGGTTTAAGTTTAAAGCCATCCCAGTAGAAAAGTCTACAAGACTCCATCTCTACAATTAGCCATCAAAAACTGGATTGGAGGAATAGCCCAAGTGATAGAATGCTAGCCAAGCATGCAAGCCGAATAAACTAGTGGCCCTAAGTTCAAGCCCCAGAGCAGTCAGTAAAAGGAAAAGAAAAAGCTATTTAAAGCAAAATAGCAAGATTCAAGAACTTGTTCTACTCTCCTCTGTAGTTGGGCTGCTTCAGTAGAATCACAGGCTGACACAGTCCTAAGGCCAGTGTATGTTGGGATAGAGTCCTTTGTATTGAACCTTGGAGCATACCGTGAACTTTTGTTTTTGTTTGCTGTTTTGTTTTATCTTTGGCAAATTTAATATTTGACTCATATTAAAATTCAGTTTCATTTCCTAACCACATAGCCTTATTATGGTAGCTTAACCTTATTAGAACCAACCATCATATTTTTAAAATTGATACAAATTGTCATCAAAGAATTCAATGCTCATATTTGTTGAAGAATTCACTAGTATTTATCTCAAAATTACCAGTAGTGTGTTCTTCTGGCAACTTTAAGACCTGTTTGGCTCAAATATTAAAGAACTTTTTACATAAGGCAAGTGCTAATGGAGGATGCTAGACTATGAATGTATCTGCTAAAGACAGTAAACATGGGCACTAGATTTGTCAAACTGGTTGAGGGGCTCATTCAGTAATGCACTAGAATGTTGATAATCTGTTATGAATACAGAAATGCCTAACTGCACTACTGCCAATCCACTTCATGTAACTCTAGGAACCTTTCTAGGGGTATGAGGGTCTCAGATGGTAAATCTTTCTTGTTGCATAGCAAAGCTCTCTACTTCTGTGCCATGTATCCACCAGTGGTCCACAGCTCTAGCCCAGGAGGTGGTGGTGGTGGTGGCGGCGGCGGAGGCTGCGGCGGCGGAGGCGGAGGAGGAGGAGGAGGAGGAGAAGAGGACAGTCGGCAGGAGTCAGAAACTCCTGATCCAAGTGGAGGCTTCCGAGGAACAATGGAAGCAGATCGAGGAATAGAAGGTTTAATCAGTCCCACAGAGGCCATGGGAAACAGTTGTGGGGCCAGCAGCTCCTGTCCTGGCTGGCTTCGAAAGGTAAGTCCTTTGCAGTCCCTAGAAAAATGCTGTCAGAATCTGTTTCCTATGTCCTTTAAACTGTTCTGTAGTAAGAATCTAGCCTTCGACTTCTACCTGGAAAGAAATCACTAAAATCTGTGGGTTTTTTTTTTTCTTTCCAGAAAGAAGAGATTTTTTTTAAATGCTGTCATACTCATATTACTTAAGTGAATATAAATTAATATAGCCTACGTTGAAGGCAGTTTGTATGGGCCTGTGAACAGAGATAAAACTTAGAATTTGTCCTATTCATAGAAGTGGAATGTCAGGGCTGATAGAATCCCCTACAATAGAAATACAGTTGATGAAAATAGGTTTAATAGTAAAAACTAAATATGAAATCTATTATTTATATGGAAAGTCAGTTACAGTATAGCTTGTGGAAGAGGATGGAATATCTGTTGCTAAGACCTTATTTCAGAAAATAGGTGATCACCTTGCTTTCACTGTATTTGATGTTGGTATAATTTGTGGAGGGGAAGGGAAAAAAACAAATCACTTAAATAGGGATACAGGTGGACCCATTGCAACAATGAGATGTACAAGTCATTATGTGGAAAAACGAACTTTACAACTTTGGCGGGGGAGGGGGGGTATAGGAGGGATATGGGGGGAGGATATGGGAAGGGATAGGAAGGGGAAACAAAAGGAGGAAGCAACAATGCTTGACAAGAAATGTACTCATCTTGCCCATGTAATTGTAACTCCTCTGTACGGTATTTTCATAATAATAAAAAAAAAGTTAAAAAAAAGAAAATAGGTGATCATTTTTAAGAGACTTGCTGGCAGTTTTTCTTGACTTTCTTTGCCCATCTTTGTAAATGAATATTTATAGTTTGGGAGAATTTAGTTTAATAAAAAGAACCTGCAGGGCGCTGTGGCTCACACCTGTAATCCTAGCTACTCAGGAGGCTGAGATCTGAGGATCATGGTTCAAAGCCAGTCTGGGCAGGAAAGACTGTGAGACTCCTATCTCCGATAAACCACCAGAAAACCGGAAGTGGCGCTGTAGCTCAAGTGGTAGATTGCTTGCCTTGAGCTGAAGAGCTGAGGGACAGCGCCCAAGCCCAGAGTTCAAGCCCCACAACCAACCAAAAATAAAAAATAAAAATAAAAAGAACCTACAGATTTAAAGCTTCTTATCCAGACTGAACTTGGTAGTTATGAGGCCTATAAGCAGAGAAAGCAGCACATCTTCAGCCCAGCCTCTGGCAGCTTGGCCATCAACCTCCCTGCATTGTCTTCAAACCTCCTAACTAGCTGAGTAGCCTGAGTAGAATAAGAGTGTTGAGGAAACACTGCAAACACTCCAGACTCTGCTCAGATTTGCATCTCAAATTATATCACTTCTGTGATGGATTCCCAGGGTGGGAATCCTACTGTCCTGCACCACTAGAGGGTGCTGATGTCTTAACAGTAAAAACTAGAGCAAAAGCAAGAAAGGAATTTGGGAGAAAGTAGATTGTTGCAACTGATAAAAATTTCTTTTTCTGTACCTAGGAGCTGGAAAATGCAGAATTCATCCCCATGCCTGACAGCCCAATTCCCCTAAGTACAGGATTTTCAGAATCTGAGAAAGATACGCTACCCTATGAAGAGCTACAAGGACTCAAAGTGGCCTCGGAAGTTCCTCTGGAACACAAACCCCAAGTGGGAGTCTGGGTAACTGAACTTTGTATATTTGAATCACAATTCTGACCTCATCATGTCCTCTAGCCTCCTTGTTCTTCTGTGGCTGTCCTGCATCAACTCATTACCGTGTCACATATCTGATAGGCTAGTACTTTTCTGCTCAAGGCTAGTACTTAACTACTTTGAGCCACAGTGCCACTTCCGGTTTTCTGATGGTTAATTGGAGATACGACTGTCATGGACTTTGTTATTCTGTCTGGCCTGGAACTGTGATCCTTAGATCTCAGCCTCCTTAGTAGCTATGATTATAGGTGTGAGCCACCAGCACCTTTCCACCCCAGAGAATTATGTTTTCTCTCTGCCTCAGAAATACAAAACTGAAATCCAAAATCCCCGTTCATTTTTTTAACCCACTATGGTGGGTTGAAGAGCTATAAATATAAATAACTAATGTACATCTAACCTTGTAGATGTTTTCATTTTACACCTCAGTGAAACAAAACTAAAGAGGTCACATACTAATTATGTAGCCCATATAATCTCTTGTAACTATTGGACACTGGCACTGCAGCACAAAAGCAGGCACAGATATAAGTTGAATACCTTTTATCCAAAATGCTCAGGACCCAGAAGTATTTGTTAGATTTTTGTTACATTTCAGGTATTAGATTTTTTTTTATTATCTGCATATATATATAGTGAGATATCTTGGAACTGGGACTCAAGTTTAAACACAAAATTCATCTGTGTTTATAGACACTTTATATAAATAGCCTGAAGGTCATTATGTACAATATTTTATTATGCTTGCTTTTTTACCACAACCCTTCTCATGAGCTTAGCAGTGACATTTTCTATTTGAGACATCATGTTAGTGCCCAAACAGTTTTGAACTTTGGGACATTTGGGATCTTCAGATTAGAGATGCTCAAACCTTTAATACTTTATGAGTGAGCATGTCTGTGTTTCATTAAGACTATTTACAAAATCAGTAGTAGGCCAAAATTGGTCCATGGACTGTTGTCTGTTGATTCTGGCTTATACACAAAGTATAGAAAAATCTAGATAATTAGCCGGCTGCCAGTGGCTCACACCTATAATCCTAGGTACTCAGGAGGCTGAGAGATCTGAGGATCACAGTTCAAAGCCAGCCCAGGCAGGAAAGTCCATAAGACTCATCTCCAATAAACCATTAGAAAACTGGAAGTGGCGCTGTGGCTCAAGCGGTAGAGTGCTCGCCTTGAGCTTAAGACCCCAGGAACAGCGCCTAAGTCCAGAGTTCAAGCCCTACAACTGACCAAAAAAAAGAAAAGAAAAATCTGGATAATTAGAAACCTTCCCAGGAGGTAATAAAATCTTTGAAACTTCAATATGAGCATTTTAATTTCTATTGATTAGCTTTGAGTCCTGTTTACTGTGAGAGTCCTATTTGCTGAATACTTCTTCACATCTTTTTTATATTGTTATTCATTATTTTTTATGACTTTTTTTTTTGGTCGGTCGTGGGGCTTGGACTCTGGGCCTGGGTGCTGTTCTTGAGCTTTTTTTGCTCAAGCCTTGAGCCAGCGCCACTTTTTGTTTATGTGGTACTAAGGAATCGAATTCAGGTCTTCATGCATGCTAGACAAACATGCTACACCTAAGCCACATTCTCAGCCCATGTTTTATGAATCTTAATCCTTTGAATCATAGTGTCCTCATTATTATCAGGACTTAATATCCTCACTGTGATCAGAAAGATTTGTTCCAAATGATGCTTTTCTCCATGTTAGCATTTTAAATGAGAACATATTGATGTCCTCTAAAGACTTTTTACAGGGCAGGGCACGGTGGTATATGCCTGTAATCCCAGCACTTAGGAGGCTAAGTTAGGAGTTTGTGAGTTCCAGGCTAGCCTGGGCTACATAGAAGTACTATGTTTCAAAAAATATACATAGATACATAAACATCTTCATAAAGTCCTTCAACATAGATTATTTTTCCTAGCCTAATGAGCACCAAGGCACCGAGTATTGCCTTGCCCTGTCAACACCAGCTGCGTTAGAATCCTAATGTTCTTCATTTCTCTTGTATATGTGTTCTGTCTTGTTAGTTTTAAGGTAAAATCCGTTTGGGTTGGGGAACCATGGCACTTGAGGACAGCTTCCTGCAATGTCTAATTCTTGTCTGTAGCCACCTCAGCTGACTCCTGTGGTACCATGTGCTGGGAAGGGGACACCACTGACTCTTGCCTGTACGTGCAGCGGTCTGCAAGAGGAGGTTGAGAGATTGCAGGGGCTGGTGTTAAAGTGTCTGGCTGAACAACAGACGCTCCAACAAGAAAACCTCCAGATTTTTACCCAGCTACAGAAGCTAAACAAGAAATTAGAAGGAGGGCAGCAGGTGAGAGCATTAAAAGAGTAATTCAATTTCTAAGTCTGGTTTGAAAAATCACAGAAACAAAACACCAAGTACTAAATAGACTTACTCCTTTGTAAGTCCCCGTACAGTGATGTAAGTGTCATAATTAATCTCAGAAACTTGAGCTTTGTTGAGGCACCTGGATTGAATCATTTTTACCACCTAGTTTCCTTTGGGGTTTCTTTTAATCTTTTAGCCCTTTTTTTTTTTTTTTGCCAGTCCTGGAGCTTGAACTTAGGGCCTGGGTACTGTCCCTGAGCTGCTTTTTTTGTTGTTGTTCAAGGCTAGCATTCTATCACTTGAGCCATAGCACCACTGCCAGCTTTTTCTGTTTATGTGGTACTGAAGAATTGAACCCAGGCCTTCATGCATGCTAGGCAAACACTTTACCACTAAGCCATATTCCCTCTGGGCCTGGGTACTGTCCCTCAGCTCTTCAGCTCAAGGCTAGGGCTCTACCACTTGAGCCACAGCACTGCTTCCGGCTTTTTTTCTGATTATGTGGTGCTGAGGAATTGAACCCAGGGCTTCATGCATGTGAGCCACCTTCTACCACTGAGCCACCTTCCCAGCCCCCTCTTTTCTTATATGAAAGATTTGAAACATCTTACTGAACACCTGTCAACCCACCATCTAAACTTAATAGTTATTATGTTGCTATATGTGTTGTAAGATATCAATATAAATTTTATTTTTCTGAGTCATTTTAAAGTAAGTTATAAAAATCATGAGGTAGACCCATTATGTATACTTTATTACACATCCCAGAACAAAAGTACCCATTCTTTTGGCCAGCCAACTTATTATCATACCTAATAAGATTAACACTAATCTTTCTCAAGTTTCATGTAGTATACCAGGTTGGTAATTTGAATTTTCCCAATTTTACTTTTTTTAATGGCCTTTTGAAGGCCAAAAGCCAGTCAAGAATCCCACATTCCATATGGTTGTGTCTCATTATAATCTAGTTGCATTCATTACTATCACTTTTTTTTCTTTGTGGCACTAAGATTTGAACTCAGAGCCTTGTGCCAAGGCAGGTGCTCTAACACTTGATCTACACTCTCTGCCACATCACTTATTATTATCTTTAAGTAGTTGTACAAAGGGTTTCAATTCTATATGTCAGTGTGTGAGTACAATGCATCTTGACCAGCATTACCCCTTCTATCTTTGGCTTGATAATGGCTTGAAGAAACAGGGCTAATTTAACAAAATATCCTGTGCTCTGAATTTGTCTCTTTGGTCTAAATTGTTTTGTCACCTTGTCTTTTCTGAAAACTAGATAGTCTTAAAGCTTGATGTTTATTTGGATGGAAAATAGTTTTGGAAGAACATTTTTTCCAGTGATGCTGCTGATACTGTTTTTAAAGAACCCTGATACCATTTTCTGTATCTCAGCTTAAAAGTAGGGAACCAGATTCGGCCCTTGGCTTTGCCATTTATCTGCTATATATTGTTGTTCTGAGCCCCAGTTTCCTAAAAGAGGAGAATAATACCACTAACCCCATATGTGTTACTTTGAGGATTAAGAGAGAGAGAGAGAGAGAGTGTGTGTGTGTAATGTGTGTGTGTGTAGTGTGTGTGTGTTGAGGTAAAATTGGAAGCCATTGCAGGCCGGAAGATTGTTTGCCCAGGACTGTTTCTGTTGAAAAACAGAAGATTCTGCATTCCAGAAAACTCTGCAGGTCTGGGCAAACCAAGACAATTAGTCACCTTATCTGCAACAGATATAAAGAGGTAGACTGAAGAAATGCCATGAGGGGCTGGGAAGGTGGCTCAGTGGTAGAGCGCTTGCCTTGCATGCATGAGGCTCTGGGTTTGATTCCTCAGCACCACATAAGCAAAAAGAAAAAAAGCCAGAGTGGTTCTGTGGCTCAAGTGGTAGAGCGCTAGCCTTGAGCTTAAGAGCTGAGGGACAGCGCCCAGGCCCAGAGTTGAGGCCCCATGACCGGACCCAAAAAAAAAAGAAATGCCATGAGCTTCTGTAGTATTAGCCACAAGTCCTTAGTAACATTGAAAGTACAGTCCTACATGGCTATGATTAGGCAGTTCTGTTGCTAATCTGAGACTGTATTTTATCTGGACAGGTGGGGATGCATTCCAAAGGAACTCAGACAGCAAAAGAAGAAATGGAAATGGATCCAAAGCCTGACCTAGATTCAGATTCCTGGTGCCTTCTGGGAACAGATTCCTGTCGACCCAGCCTCTAGTCTCCTGAGTCTACTCAGGAAACTGGGATCTAAAGAACCTCACAGCACACTTACTGAATGCAGAGAGCAACTTTCCTGGCTTTGTTCACTTGCAGACAAGGAGCGCAAGGCGGAGGCTCTGAAGCGCTTTCCTTATACATGTGGAGAGTGGCGTTGCCTTTTAGATAGGATCTAGGAGTGAGTTCATTGTTTTGGAGAATGGAAGGGACCCAGGACCCTGGCTTTGTCATCAGTGACTGCCATAGCAACAGCAGCTCTGTACCTCATCTTTTGATCCCTCCTTTAAAGAGGAGACACAGTGCTCACCTTAATTACGCTGATAGCAGTTCATATACCATTTATCATTTTCAGCATTGATTGGAAGCTGCCTTGGAAATTCAGCACCAGGCGTTGCCCCTCCAGGTGGGGGAGGGGAAAGTGTAAAGCTGCTTTGGGCTGGAACCAGGTGTGGCCCTCACGGGTCCTCCAGAAAGTGGTGAAGCATCTGAGCCCTCTGAGGAGCCCTGAGTCCAGGAAAACTTGTGCAGTGGAGTCAGTCTAGTGTTTGCTTTCAGAAAGTTGGATTACTTTGTGCAGCTAAACACTTGAAGAGGAAAAGTGGGCTTAGATTGCTTTCCTCTGAAGATTGATTGAAATGTCATTAGTGAGTAGAGAAAGGGCAAGTCCCTTCTTATCACACAGCTATCTCTTCAGCCTGTGGCTGGTGCAGGCATCCTCTTGGCTCTGGAGGATGCCTCCAAAGAAGATGTATCTGAGAATTGAGTTAGGGGACAGTAGGTAGGGCTACCGAAGGAAATTGTAAGGCAAGGAACTCCTTCAATGCCTGTACTTTGTGTCTGAGTTTCTGGGATGGCTTCTTGTGCCTCAACTCTTAAGGGTCTAAGATCTCAGCAGCCCTAGCCACTCCCTTTCTGAATGTCTATAGTCAGTATTTTTCCCCTTCTGGTGTGTTTTGAAGCCACACCACACATAGTGAATCTGTATCATTTTTCCTACTTGAGTGGCCCAACACCAGCACTAAAACCTAAGTGTCCTGGAAGCCTAGTAGTAGCTGGTGCCTGCCAGGTGGAAGGGATTTGGCTGTAAGCTCTCCTCTGATGTGTCCTTGAAATCAGGAACAAGCTACCTTTTCTAAACACATTTTATGCCCTAGAACCACCAGGCTATATATGCAGAATTTCAGGCTGCTCAAGGATGTGAGCCTGGGTTTTCCATCGAGCCTTATGAAATATACTGTAGTGTTTATCTCATATATTGTTGCCCCCAACAGCTAGATTGTTTTATCCAAACCAAAAAAAAAATGTTCTTAATATTGTAGGAGGACCTATGCAGTGGAAATTTTGCCATTTTCCTAAACCTGGTAGTGCAAAGGCTGGTGCTTGGAGGAAACCCCCTTCTGGTGTGGGCACCTCTGTCAATGGGATCTTCTTTGGTTTGCTATCCCATTGTTTTCTCAATTCTGAGAAGCACAGTACAGTAGTACTAACATATTCACCAAAGCCTTTTCCTATAATAAGGGAAGGGCCAACCCTGACTTAAGGTTACAAGGTCTGGGGGCCTGAGGTTGGCTATCAGTCCCCTGACAGTAGGTTTTGGTTCATCATGTAAATGAAGCTTTGGTGTTCATAAGGACTGACTGGCCTTTCATGTTCCTGTATCATACTCACCATCTCAGCAGGCCTGAGAGGCAGGGTGAGTTTGGGAATTGATCGTGAGGATTGCTTCTGCTCTGGAGCTGAGAGACATGGGCATGTGCTCAGACAGTGAAGTGACAGACAGCAAGTGTTGAAAGGAGATGAGCTCTAGTTCTTGTTGGGGGGGGGGGGGCCGAGGGGGAGGTCGTCAGTCCCAAGCGGTGGAATATGGTAATGGTTTTCTTCCTATGTTCCCTCGGGAAGTCTAGGCTTGATAATAATCTGGCTGAGTAAATTCTGTGCCTTAGAGACAATTTGCACTTTCCCTAATTGTGCCTGGGATAGCCATATGATTTTCCCCACCAAACAGCTATGCAAACAGAAACCAGTTCAAGGTGGCAGCCATGCATTAGAATATTGTGAAAGCAAGGCAGCTGAAATGCCTTTGAATGGTTTCCTGTAGCTAATTTTCTTTCAAGTGTGTCCTGCTTTTCCTTATGCAGTGCTGGGTGTTTGAAGTTTTCCAGTAGTATTGCTTTTGAGTTACAGTATAACCTGCATTACTTTGCGCCTGCACTTTTGCTGCAGAACCAGCTTATTGTTAGCCAGAAGCTGGAAAGGTTGAGGGTGGAGTGGTTTGGCATTTCTGTTTTAAATAAACATCTAAACCCTGAGTGATGTGGTTCAGTAAGCCTGTGTGTGAACCTCAGTCATTGGAGATAAAACACCCACATTCTAGGCCTTTGTGAATCTTCAATTACATGAGTCTTTATATAAATAATAAATGTTCCTTAACAGAAACAAAAAGGACAATGTTCAGAAAAAATCTTCTCCTTCCCAGTGTCTTATTCTTGCCAGTAAAGTCATTTCAATTGCTAGAACCTTTTTCCCCCCCCCAAAGACCTCTGAAAGTGTGGGAGTGGGGATTGAACCATTAAAAGCAGATGCATTCTTGTGTTTTCCTCTTCAGCGTCAGGGGCAGGGGTGCTCTTCCAAGTGGTCATGCCAGATTCTTTCTATAAAACTTTTCTCAAAGAAGCCGAGCTGTACTTGGTCTTCCTGGTATAGCACAGACAAGTTACAAACTTCTCTTGGCTGAGCATCTTGCTAAATTTAAAGCAAAGGCCTTCTAAAACTCAAACTTCACTTGTTTTTGTTATCTATTAGGAAACACAATAAAGAGTGACTCAGGAACTGGAGGCATGTCTCACTGAAGTGGTAAGAGTGCCAGCCTTGAGGGAAAAAGCTAAGCAGGATCAAGGCCCTAAATATACTCTTCCTTCGGCACCAAAAAACAAAACGAGGGGCTGGAAAGGTGGGTCAGTGGTAGAGCATTTGCCTTGCATGCATGAGGCCCTGGGTTCAATTCCTCAGCACCACATAAGAAAAAAGCCGGAAGTGTTGCTGTGACTCAAGTGGTAGAGCGCTAGCCTTGAGCTGAAGAGCTGAGGGACAGCGCCCAGGCCCAGAGTTCAGGCCCCACGACTGGACCCAAAAAAAAAAACAAAACCAGTTTCACACAAATTCATTCAAATGAGATCCCTGGGACTCTCAAGGAAGTATTAGTCACAATGGCATCAGGACAGAGTAGGCTATAGTCAGGAGTGAAACACATTCTTCCCTGTTGGAAAGCCAAAAGTTGTTTTTGCTTCCATGCTACAGAAGTGCACTACTGATTAAACTCAGAGGCACGGGGTTAGGGAAGAGAGCCCATGTCCTGTCACATCTGCTGCTGCCTGTCGCTTTGAAGAGTGATCTGTTGGACTGAAAGCAAATAATGACCAGAGGTGCTGTATGGCATAAAGCAGGAAGACGTATTATCTCGGTATTGCACACACAGTTCCCAAAATTAGTTTCCATGTGAGCTTCATCGTGAGGTTTTTTTTCCCCGTAGCTTAACTTTTTGAACTTGAAAATTTGTTTATTTGCACTAAATGTTCTTGGGTAAGGTAATATAAAATGGGCATTTACAAGCAGCATTTATGTGTCCTCTCTGTCCTTTTTCTACACAAGAAGACACTTAGAAAAAAAAGGTCTTACCTCTTCCCAAAAGCCAAGTCAGATTCAAAAGATGGAAACTCAGGGCCTCAACATGTACATATCAAAGGGAGCACTTAAGACATTGGCTAAATTACATTTCTTTGGGAGCTAAAGAATGAATAACTACATCACTGTGTCTATAGATATAGCATTTATTCTCTGGAAGACCCAGACCTGTGACCTTATCATCATCTATGGCTGAAACTGACCCTAATGCTGCCATTCGACAACTAAAGGAGCCACTAATTCTGAACTCTATCCACAATGCCCTAGGCTGGCGTCATGTTTCCAGGACCTCCAACTTTTCAAGACATTCTCCCTATCTTGTTTTTCAAATGTTGGAATGTATTTTAACCCTGCATAGCCAAATAAGCTAGATCTCTGGAGCAACAATGTCCACAACTTATTCTTGCCATCCATTGCTTTTAACATCAAGTGTGGAGCTTAGTGTATTTCTCATTAAACTTCCTGGGGAGATGAGATACATATTGGGTCAAATAGCTTGTCTCTGAGCTGTCCTTACTCAAATCTTTTTGGTTAAGTTCATAAAATCCATTAATTGAGGACGTAACTTGTACTAGGCACTTTTCTACGTAGGAAATTTAAAAGATCTGGTCCTGCCCCTGCAAAGGTTATTCTAAAATATTAGTGTGATCATACTCTAACCATCAGGGACATGGGACTCTGCCAGTGCCTCTGCTTGGCTTTGATGGTAGATTTGCTCCCTCATTTAAAAACTCATTCAACCCCCTGAGTTGAGAGCAGATTATCAACATCTTTTTCTTTTTATCCAACATATGAAACCCATTAGAAAAGAACAAGTTGAAGTAAAATGTGTTTTCTCCTCATTCCTATGCTGTAACATATATAAAGATGTTTCCTTTATTAACAGTACACCACAGGGAAGGTTTAAGATACACTGGTGCCCTCACATTATGTACTTTCATAGGCTTTTGGCCAGGACCATGCCCCTGGGAGGCCAAGATAGAGTTCCATTTAATAATGCCTTAAAGCACAATCTTACTATCCTTTGTTTTCTTGTGCTAGGGATCGAACCCAGGCTTTGTGCGCGCTAGGCAAGCACTCTACCACTGAGCTGCACCCTCAGTCCTTTATTGTTTTTCTCAACAGTTATCATCTGTGTGACCATAGTCTTCTGATCCCAACTCACTCGGTACTCTGAACTTGCATGAATGAGAAGGCTTTAAAGAAACCCTGAACACGTGATGACCGGAGGCCCTTCACTAGCACAAAGCCCAGGCTCACCGGAAGAGAACTTTAATGCAGCCTGTTCATGATTTACTGTCCTCACCCACTTGCTTGGGGCGAGAACATAAGGCACACAAGCAAAGGTTGTGATGCGAGGGGAAGCTGGGTTTTCTTCTGTCTCGATGCTTACCAATGGCTCTCTCCTAGTGCAGCTTAACTGCAGGCAAATGTGGCTTCTGGAAAAGTTCTGTTTTCTTTCTGCTTTGCATCAAATATATTTGGTTTCTGTTTACTGCTGAAGAGAAGCAGAGCTTTGGGAACTACATAAGGTAGTCTCGCTGTCATCTGCTCAGCTCTCATGCTTCCGTGGAGGTGGAGGGCGGTTCTTGATGGTCTTACACTTGGGAATGTGTCGCTCAGCCACCTTAGGAGCAAAGTGGCGGCCACAGTGAGGACACTGAACATAGTCTGGATTTTCTGCCGGCAGGATTGGAGGCAAGTCTGCTGGGTTTCCACCTTTGGCAATTACTTGCTGGACTTCTCGAGCCTGACGGAGAGTACGGATGAAAGATTCATGCTTTTGTCTCCAGTTGCTCTTCCGAGGAGGTTCAGCCTGTAATATAAAAAGAACACTGATCCTTCAACAGGGTATTTATCTTGTCCTGAGACTCCATGAGAATGATAGTCGGAAATTAAAAGGCTTACTGATTCTCAAGAGAACAGGAAGAGGGCAGCAGTAACATCTGACTCGTCATAGCAGAGGCACAGACCAAGGGGGAAGACAGCTGGGAAACGAGCCATTTTCCCAGCAAAATGCCTGAGGAGTGCTTGGAAGTACTTGATAGTAGAAAAGCAGAAGGTGCAGGCTAAAAAGCTGGCACCCAGGGCTTCTCTCCACCTTGCACATCCAAATGCCCAGTACTCTCACAAGAGAACAGGGAGACTTGTTCTCTGAGAAACAGAATTGGATGGGTTTCAGACACAGAAATCCAGACAGGGTGGAGAACAAGGTTAATCTCTGGACTGAAATGGGGATTAAGTTCAAGTATACATTACAAATTGTGGAACTTTCATCCTTCTCCAAACTCAATTCCCAGAGTACCAAGAAAACTGACATCATCCTCTTTCTTTCTTTCCTTTTTTCTTTTTCTTCCTTCCTTCCTTTTCTTTCTTCCTTCCTTTTCTTTCTCTCATGTGTGTGCCTGCCTTCCTGGGAATTAAACTCAGGGTTTTGACACTGTCCTTGAGCTTTTTTCACTCAAGGCTAGCACTCTACTACTTGGCCACAGCTCCACTTCTGGCTTCTTGGTAGTTTTGGAGATAGGAGTCTCATAGACTTTCCTGCCCAGGCAGGAAACCACAATGCTCAGATCTCAGACTTCTTAGTAGCTAGGCTTTCAGGAGTGAGCCATACCAGTGCCTGGCTCTGACATCCTGACTCTGAAAAAAGAAGGGTTCTCTAGATGATGAATGATCCAGAGATAAGCCTTCAGACATTGACATTGGAGGACTCAATCACAAGGACCTAATCACTATTTAATAACCTTAATATGAAGACTCTTAGTCAATAAATGGACAGACAAGCCAGGCGCCAGTGACTCATGCCTGTAATCCTAGCTACTCAGGAGACAGATGAGGATCCCAGTTCAAAGCCAGCCCAGGCAGGTAAGTCCAAGAGACTCTTATCGCCAATTAACCAACAGAAAACCAGAAGTGGCTCTGTGGCTCAAGTGGTAGAATGCTAGCCTTGAGCTGAAGAGCTGAGGGACAGCACTCAGGCCCAGAGTTCAAGCCCCACGACTGACTAGATAGATAGATACATACATACATACATACATAGACAAAAGCTCTAAAAGACTTTTAAAAAGTTCACAGGGCTGGGAAAGTGGCTCAGTGGTAGAGTGCTTGCCTTGCATGCATGAGGCCCTGAGTTTGATTACTCAGCATCACATAAGCAGAAAAAGTCGGAAGTGGCACTGTGGCTCAAGTGGTACGGTACTGGCCTTGAGCTGAAGAGCTGAGGGACCACACCCAGGTCCAGAGTTCAAGCCCCACAACTGACCCCCCCCCAAAAAAAAAGTTCAGAAACAAAAACTCAGGAAGAAAAATGACAAAACTCTTCTTTACAGAAAAGCACAACAAAATATGTACAAGAAGGGCTGGGACGGTGGCTCAGTGATAGAGCGCTTGCCTTGCATGCTCGAGGCCCTGGGTTCAATTCCTCAGCACCACATAAGCAGAAAAAAAAAGCTGGAAGTGGTGCTGTGGCTCAAGTGGTAGAGTGCTAGCCTTGAACTAAAGAGCTGAGGGATAGCACCCAGGCCCAGAGTTCAGGCCCACGACCGGACCCCCCCCAAAAAAAAATATGTACAAGAAGAGATTGTGACTATAAGAGTATACCATGAAAGGCTAGGAAGGTGGCTCAGTGGTAAAGTGCTTGCCTTGTATGCATGAGACCTTGGGTTCGATTCCTCAGCACCACATAAGCAGAAAAGGCTGGAAGTGGTGCTGTGGCTCAAGTGGTAGAGTGCTAGCCTTGAGCTGAAGAGCTCAGGAACAGCGCCCAGGCCCAGAGTTCAGGCCCCATGACAGACCCCCCCCCAAAAAAAAAGTATACTATGAAAGATAAACAACCAAAGAACTTGAAAAGGTAATAAAAGCTGTGATAGTTCAAAATTCAGTGGAAACTTTATAAAAAATAATGTCAAAATGTTCTCAGAATGGACAATAAGATGAAAATGGAAAGTTCAAAAAGGCCACTATGCTATCTTCCCGTGGAAACTAGACCTAAGAGATATTGATGCACACGCATACAACATGATTCTGTCGGACAATGGAGGAGGGTGGGAAAGGGAGAGGAAAAAAAAAGATAAAGGATAAATAATTTCAAAATACAGTGCAACTATGCAAGAAGATGGTATAAGGAATCTCAACAGCATCAATAGGAGATTTGGGGGGACAGAGAGTAAGAAAGCAATACAGAGAGTTATTCTGAACAAAATAGATACAAAGCTGAAGTGCCATAGTGAAATCCCTTGGTGCAAGTAAACTAAAAAAAAGACAGGGGTATCAGCAAGAAGGGGAGAGCTAGCAGAGAGAATGAAGGTAAATTAGTTACATGTATGAAAGTAGAACAATGAAACGTGTTGAAATTATTTTAAGATGGAGGCATGGATTAAGGAATAATAACAGAAAGGGTAAGGTTGATTATGCTATATTGTATATATATTGTATACATGTGTGAAAATATCCCACATTGAAACCCCCCTTGTATGGCTATGCTAATAAATGGAAAGAATAAAATATTAGGAGGGACTGGGAATGTGGCTTAGTGGTAGAGTGTTTGCCTAGCATGCATGAAGCCTGGTTCGATTCCTCAGTACCACATAAGCAGAAAAAGCTGGAAGTGGTGCTGTGGTTCATATAATTGAGTACTGGCCTTGAGGAAAAGAAGATCTCGGACAGTGCCCAGGCCCTGAGTTCAAGCCCCAAGACTGGCAATAACAAAAAAATTATATATATATATATATATATATATATATATATATATATATATATATATATATATATGTATA